CCGCTCGAATGATTTTGATTAAACTCGGTGTATCATTGTATAATGAAGTGATCTTTAATATCATTTAGGTATTATCCACATCAATGTCACTTGTCAGAGCTTAAATGCCCAATGTGTCTTCCTCTAATGAAATATGTCTTCCTCTAAAGTACGTTTAATACAGATTATTTTAAAAAATGAACTCTCATTTATTGACAGTAACTATAAAAAATGGCTAAATATGAAGTTTGAAAGAATATGATAATTGAAAACGGGAGTACAAAAGAAAAATGCTTTTCCAGGTTGAAAATGAATCTCTGGAAATACTAGTCAGAAGGTATACGTATAATATATATCGTTAAAAAGCAGAGAATTTTAGAAAAATTAATATCAAATAAATAAAGTTCTAGAAGATAACGGATAGTGAAAAAAATATATAAATAATAATTTCAGAAAACCAACATAATTTAACGTAAATCACATGTTTCCAAGAAAATTAAATGAAATTTTCTTACTATAGGTAAACTTTTAAAATATTGTTGTTTGAAAAAAAGGTATATAAAATCCTTCGAATCAAGCAAATGCCATTGTTTAAAATACTATTTCATTGTACTTGTGTGAAAGAAGAAGTGAAATATATATATATATTTCATGGATATGTTTATAACCTTAAAACATTTACTGAAGTTCAATAATGCTAGGTATGATATATTTAAAGGTATCTATTGGTCATTTTTTCCAAAAAATCATCATGTAACCTTTTCGAAAATTAAATTAGTGAATCATTTGATGAATTTTGCCTTTGTGAAATCCCAACATTATCCACTTACAATTAGTGTGACAATTCTTGAACTATCCATAGGCAGGCAATGAAAATCTCTTAATATCATTTTAGTAAACTTTAAAATAGAAAATAACAGTTTAATAACTAATAGTTACTAATACCTACAATCTATTATCATTTATCGGTTAAATATTCAGATATACTCTCAAATCTCTCAAGGCATATATGTGCCTTTCATTTGACAGAATGACTAACTCCAATTTCAACATTCTTTATTATTAATTTTAGTGATGTTTCTAATGGCAAAATGTATACCTTTATTCACAGTTCTATATTACAACACTGCAATCACCTACTCTGGAATCAACTTACTGACTGTCTATATAGGTACTTTTCCAACAAGAAATATCACTAAAATATTATTAGGTACTAATTAAACCTGATAAAAAGGCTTCTGTATCACGGACTATTATCACAGATCTAGAATTATTAAACTACAGTAAATGTATTTAAGGTTATAAACATATGCTTTATACTTCCATAAAATATTTTTATATTTCACTTCTACTTTAACACAAGTACAATGAAATAGTTTTTTAAACAATGTCATTGCCTTGATTAGGAGGATTTTAAATACTTTTTTTCTAACTTAACAATATTTTAAAAGTTTACATTTAGCTAGTAAATTTCATTTCATTTCCTTGGAAACATGTGGTTTCCGTTAAATAATATGAGTTTTCAGAAATTATTATGTATAATTTTTTTGCCACTCTCCATTACCTTCTAAGATATTGTATGTTCGATATTGATTTTTTCTGAAACTCTCAGCTTTCCAACATTATATTATATGTCTACCATCTGACTGTTCCGATAAATTTCCGAAAATTTATTTTTGACCTGAAAAAAAATTCTTCCTATTTTCTCCTTCAATAAATTATCAAAATCTTATCTAACTTATCTAAGCCTCTTGTTGTTACTAATAACATTGAGAAGCAGTTAATTATTAAAAATAAACCAAATTAAAAGTACTTTAAAGAAATTTCGAAAATTAGGCATTTAAGCTCTGTTAGTTGACATCAATTACAATAAGATCTATCTGATATATTAAAGACCATTTCATTGTGCATTGATATATAGAATTTAATCAAAATTGTTAGAGCTGTTTTCAAGAAAATTGTAAAAATATGTATAATCGATGATATGAAATGGCTCTTCCCTGAAGCCGATTTTGTCGAAAGTTTTTTTTTTTTTTAGGTTCACTCCTATTCAACAATAAACAAGAAAACAAAACATTTTTTAGTTTCTTAAAATTCATAGTTTATATCAACTTTTTTTTGTAGCTCTTGAGGTCACTGTCAGATCTTTAAATATTTCTCTATAGTTACAGGACACACTGTAGATTAAAAATTGCCATGAATGAATTAGAATCTCAGGGTTTCATGCAGGAATTTTAAAAGTCAAAGAAAATTACCTAATAATTAAGAAGACTATGTAGAACAATTATTGTTTTTAAAAATAGGATGTAGGTTAAAAACATAACAAAAACTTCCACAAATATTTTTTATAAATAACTATTTAATCTAACTATAATAGATGCATTGAGCCAAATAGCATCAAATAAGTGAAAAACATTACAATATAAAATAAGAGAGAATGAATTCACATCCACAGTTTAAAACAAAGTGTGAACAGTTTAATAAAACACCACAATGAAAATAGGATACATTTAAATTCTAAAAAGTTTGGATGTAATATATAGGGACAGTAATACACAAATATTTGATATTAAAACATAACAAATCAGTTGTATCATAATTTCAGTCTTGATTATTTATTCATATTTTAAATAAGAAATTTTTAAGTTTTTTTTTTTTACATATTTTATTTAAGTACAAATAACTTTGCAGTATGCATAAGGTACATAATTATTCACATTTATATACAAATTTTATTTATATAAATATTATAAATGCTTACACATTAAAATAAAAACAAATTTAATTATATGTTAATTACACATTGCAAAATGATGTTCCAATGAAAGCCATTAGAACAACTAGTATTTTTTAAAGTAATTTTTTGTTTCAATCAGTGGGGAATAGTACACAAGAAAACTTACACATATGCTAAATTTAGAAATAATATACTATTAAAATTATTGTAGAAATTGGAATTTAAAAAAAGTTTAAGCTAAAAAACCTAGAAAATCATAAAATTGATCATTACAACAAAAAATATTTCAACTGTTAACCAAAGAAAGTTCAACCTTCGCCTAAACCAGTCTCAATGTTAACAATGAATAGTTTTCAATAATGTAAGTACCACATACTTCTTTTAGGTTTAAAATCTCTATTTAAAAATAGACTATAATTATTTAATTTATGTAAAGATAATCCAATGAAAGTCAATATTGATCATAAAAAATATGAAATATTTACTTAACATTGGTAATTGTTTATACTTCAAAGTAAACAGCATTCATTCTGTATTTCTAATTTATTCTTAAGGGACAACGGTGTCAGAGTAATAAAAAATATTTTCATTTAGATATATTCTAAATATATTTTGAAATTAAACACAAAAACATTATATAGCCAACCCTTTGTAGATATTTCAATAAATAAAAAATAATTTTTACAAGACAGTTTCATAATGTAATGTTTATCATTACACATAGAACATTAAACAAAAAAAAAGTATGAAGAGCCAATCTGCAAGAAAAATCATTCTAGAAAATTTATTTTAAGATAATTAGCTATAACAAAAATCCAGAAACAGTCTAAAAAAAAAATGAAGATGGCCCCTTAGGGCAAATACATCAATTATATAATAATATAATTATATTACACACAAATGTTGTTTAGTCTTTTATTCTTCCTTGTCTTGATAACTCATTATTATATTATAATTGTGAAAAAGAATTATTTTTTTAGTTTAATTATTTAATAATAATGTTTATTAGTTATAGAATTACATAAAAAATTACTGCAAATTTAGGCTGTAACATTGCTGATTTTTTAAAATATTTTAAAACAATTCATTAAATAACAAAATTTATTTATTGATGTAAAAGAGATAACATAAAATACTATACTCTTATCAGCTCAAATGCAAATAAGAATTGTTCTATTTCTGTTAAAAATGTATTTGAAAAATAACTATGGAGTAAGGGAGAATAAGAGAATATGTCCAATTTTAAATTTAATGTTTCTCTACTCAAGTCCTTTATTATTCACTCCAATTAAAAGTAGAACTGATATTAATTTAATTTAGACTTCAGGATATTTTGTAATGGATGAACTTATAAAATTAATTATAATTATAAAATACAAAAAAAAAGGAAATTAAGGGTTAGCCATACTGGGCATATTTTTGAATACTAATTAAATTTAAAAATAATTGTAAGAACAAATTTATAAAATTATATGTCTTTAAAATTCTTCAGTGGTAAAATGTAAGTACATAGTATTTATTAAACAACAAAAGTCAAAGTCCTCAATGAAGGTAGGTACATAATTTTATGAGGAGCAATAATTATGGCAGGTTTGAGATTGTTGAAAGAAGTAAAAATAGATTATTTTTTAAATATTAATTTAATAGCTACAATAAAAAAAGTATAGAGTTTTCAAGTGTTTATTTAAATTTATAATATATGTAATTTTTTAGGTATATTACAATGAATTCCTCTCGTACCTTAAAACTTAATATAAATAATTCCTAATAACAGCCTTCCCTGTAGCCACTAATTTATGAATATTCCTCATGACATAAAATATACAAACAATATTTATTAGTTTCATTAATTTTCATCTAATGGAGGTAATAGTCAATATTCCTAATTATAATAAAGCCAATAGAAAATTACAATATCATTAAAAGAAAAAAAGTAAAATTATATAAATGAAAATATCCTAAAATTAATCTTTTGTAGCTTACATTATTTGACAAATAAATAATACCTATATACAAATTTGATAAGAAAACACATAATCACAGTTATACTCATTTAAGATACAAATACCTTCCACCTTCCTTCTCAAGGATCCCTTCGGTTGATTTCAGTTAAATGCCATTAACGAGGCTCGTTATTTCGGGTAAGTAAACATAACTGAAACTGCTGAAAAACTCTTTACTATTCTCTAAAATATTTCACTGAATTATTATATTTTAAATCAGAATTAATTTTCTTATATATATAAATAAGAGATGGATTAGATAAATAAAAAAATTCTAAGGTCTAAACAGGAGGGAATAAAAACAAATCATGATCTAAAGCAAGATCCAGCGACTCAGCCTTGGAGCATTTATGAGCTCGTAAATCTTCTTCGAGAGTAAATGTTTCTGCGCATTCTGAGCAAGTGTAATCTCTTTCTAATTCATGATCTAAGCTATGCAAGTCGAGATCAGACTTAAGCTCGAACTTCTCTGGACACTCCTGAAAAATAAATTGTATCATATTTGAAAGTTTAAAATAAGATATTTTATTAAAATATTAATTTTCTGCAGTATTGGATTTTTATCTATATGAAATTAGAGATCGAAAAAAAAAAATTATATATATTTCTTTCATAAATATTAATATTCTCTGATAGTCATTTTTATTGTTATAGTACCCTAATAACAAAATTGAACTTGTTCGTTTAATACTCCTCTCATAGATTAAAAAAATTTGAATTTACTATAAACTCATTTCTTATTTACATTCTGAGTATCTACTTCGCCGTCTGGAAGAGTTCAGGTTTCCTACCACTCTATGCCGACTGATCCGAAGCTACCTCAGGGAAGATCTCTCGTCGTACGAGTTGGTACAGACTACTCAAACCCAGTCGATACCACCTGCGGAGTACCTCAAGGGTCTGTGTTGGGGCCAATACTGTTCGTCGTTTTCACGGCGCCGTGGTGGCACTCAAAGCATCCAAAGGCGGTGGAGCAGCCTATGCGGACGACATTGGCATATTGCTTCCAGCATCAACGCGGAGACTGCACTCACTCTGGCACAGAATGCTTCAGCCACAATTGTTGAAGAGCTAGAAGAGATCGGTATCAGAGTGAATCCTGCGAAGACTGATGCTATTGTCATGTCGTTTCAGAAGGGAAAGAAGCATCTAACCACACAATTCACCGTTGGAGGAGTTTATCATAAAATTTCTACCTCGATTGTCTACCTCGGCGTCACGCTAGATAGACATTTGACCTTCTCCAATCACGTTAGGCAGATGGATCAAGCTGGCACGAAAGAAGTCGCACCGCTCTACCACCTATGACGTCGCCGCAGCTCTCGCTGAGAACTCAAGCTCCAAATTTATAAAGCTGTTATAAGACCAACACTGCTCACGGGGCCCCTCTCCTGCGATACCTATATAAATCCACGCTTAGAGTCTACAGGGCTTCCAGAACTCTATCTTCGGCGAATTGTCCGTGGCACCACCCTACAAAGGGCTAAGAATCAAACAATACGCGAGGAGCTCCAGCTCCCTCGGTACCTGAGTTCATAGGCCGGAGGCACATCAAATTTTTTGATGGGTGAAGCCTGTGCAAACCCACTGTTCAATGAGATCTCACCACCACCCAGACCTGGGAGGTGGCAAGGTAAACTCCCTTTGGTGGACATACTCGCCGAAGGATGTGGTCTGGTCTCTGCGGTCCAAACTCATTAATTTGTATATATTGTAAATAATAAACATTAGCAGAACGGTCCTTCCCCGTTCAATGTCAAAGTCACAAGGCCTTCTGCCACATATGTAACCTTTAGCTATCCCCAATCCTTAAAATGCCCTCGGGCAGTGGAAGGAATTTATTACATGTTTATATTGTATTATTGTATACTATATATGTAATTGTTTCAATAAACTTTTGGAGGGTAAGAAAAAAAAAAAAAAAAAAAAAAAAAAAAAAAACATTCTGAGTAAAATTTATTCATATCACAGTTTTAAAATTTAAAAAATTCCTATTTTATTTTTAGTTTAAAAAAAATAGTAATATTAATACTTAAGTAATAATATATATTTACGTAATAAATAAATTTTTGATCATATAAGCCGCATAATATTGCTGTATCAATAAATTACTTGAAATAATAAAAAACAACAAGAGTCAAAAAGTATACCTTATTAATTTATAATAGTCTGTGGTATAGACACCTTTTAATCAAATTATTATCATAATTTAGTGCTTACAATGTATACTGAAATTAAATTTATCATGAAACATTGAATAATATTTAATGGAACCACATTATGGATCTGAGTTTTCAAAGTCAAGTGTGTGTTCATAAATTTTCTTACTGGAAAATATGGTTTTTCTTTTTCGCAAATTTATGGACACTAATTGGGAGATTTCTTTTCGAAATTCCAGCATATTTTATATGATCGATTATACTATCTATAAATTCATCAAGCAATCCCATTCCAGCAACGTTCCTACAGCCCCACACCGTAAGTATAATCTATCTATACTCTATGTTTAACAGCCATTGTGCCATTTCTTTTCCTTCAGTCTTTTTAATTTCCACTGTTATCAAACATCTCAATGATATATTATTCCAAAAATCACTGTAATGTTTTTTTATTTTGTCAATATATTTGGCTGAAAGATAAACCATATTTATGAGATGTTATTTATAACTATATATTTGACACGATTTTTCAAGCTCTTCTGCTATTTTTTTGTTCCGGCAAAATGTTTCTCCATTAATTTGGGCATTAATCTTTGGATCTTTTTCTTTTCTTACAATGTGCCTTTTAGTTGTGGAAATGTTAGTAGGGCATCCTGTTTTCAACTTTGATAGCCCTACATCACCATCTTTAAAACGCAAAGGGGTTGTTTTGGAGGTACAACCAAACCTATTTTAACAAGAGTGGGAAGATAGAGATTCATTCCATGGGTCCGCCACGAAACAAATTTTAACTTGCCCAAGCCAGATTTTCTTTATCAAACGATTGTCTTTAGGCTCAAGAATGTTATCAAAGTTTATGCTTTAACACGCTCGGTCATCATGACCTCATCCTGTTTTCAACTTATAAATACACGTCTATCACATTCTTTATTGGTCAATAATGTATTTCTCAGTGGAATAGGATCTGTTCATTATTTTGTCAATTTCTCCAGCATCATCAGCACTCATTGTGTAGTCACACTATAGTTTTCTTTTTGGCCTCAGTTGTTTCCTTTTATTTACACACCATGTAAACAATATAGAGCAGTAAGAATAATACAAACAGCTTCACAGACCTATATAGATCTCACTAAATATCAGTAAAAGTTTTAAGATAAATTTAACATAGTAATAGAGTGAATTACGAATCATAAAAATTATGAGTACGAATACTTTTGATTTGTTTTGTTTATTGAAGTTTATTTGAGCAATTATATGCGGTTTATATGATCATAATGTATTAGATTATTGATGTTAATATTACCTTGTTTTATTTTTTTAATTAGCTCCCTTCTAATAATAGCAATGTTATTTTAAACAAATACTTTTGTCACTGACATTAATTTAAACTTGACAGTAGTATAGATTTTAAACCATCAATTTTTAAACTTATAACTTTAATTTAAACCTCGTTAGATGTACAACAATTAAATAAATTAGCTAAATTAGAAAAACTATAAATTAACAGTTTACCAACTAAACAAAACTAAGAAAGCAATTTCCTGCACATAAAAATGAGAAAACAAAACCTAAAATACCAATGTCACAATTATATAGTGAATTAAAATATATTTAATCATATTAGACCACAAAGTAAAACTAAAGTTAAAAAAAAAAAAAAAAAACTTACATTACACTGAAATGTTCCATTATGGCATTTCTGAATGTGTTTATAAAGACTAGAATGCTTTGAGTAAACTTTTTTACAAAATGAACAACTAAATTTTCCTTCTTCGACTAATTCGACCTGTAATTAAAAGAAAAATTGATTAGATACTCTTTGTCAAATTCAAAACCTAAACATAACAATACCTATCTTCTACCTATGTTTTGCCTATAGCTCCAATTTAATAAACTAGTAAAAAAAAAACGAAAAATTCGCACAGCATATAGTTATCAAATGCCAAATTAATAAGAAAATAAAATAATGCAACGTATCAAAAGATTAAGACATCAAATGTTACTTTATCAATAAATATAATCCACAAAGAAAACAAAATCTTTAAGATCCAGTTTGTCCCGTATCGATCTACAGACCTACCACCGTTCCATTATTGAAGCCTAGCAAACGTTTGTATCGACTTTATTTATTTTAGAAAGAAAAACAAAAGTGGAGAATACGATTCGCTAACCCCCCGTGAAATTCTGAATCCAACGGTACCCCATTCACGGTATTTGAGCATGACAGGAGCTTATATTTGGTACAAAACCGATTTCGAGCCTTACTGTAATAATATATGTGGGGATTATCAATCGAAATTTGTAGATTATTCTTTATTAATTTGTAAGTTTCAGGGAATCTTTGTACCCCTCTTCAGCACGTGCATCAGTAATGAGTAAGTCCTAGTTATCAATAACCTAACTAAGACTTACCTCATACTAGGGCATATTCCACAAAATGTACTAATTAATGAAGAATAATATACACATTGAGAGTGATTATTTATTGAATTAGACATATAAGCAAAAAGTAGGGAGAAGATAACTGATGAAAACAGGTCAAAACTGGAAACTGGTAAAAACAATGCCTATTTCTCCAAATTTGAATAAAATAACTGTTAAATACAGGAAATAAACTTTTATAAGATATTGAAACTGGTTCAATTAAGAAAAAAATTAAAATTAATGAACAAAATACCTTAAATAATTAAATCAATACTTAATATGAATAATAAATTAAGGTTTATAATAAGCATTATAAACAATTATATATAGAGTGTTGTGATGACCAAAACATTATTGAATTTCAATTTAATAATCCTAAAACCTTAGTTAATGTATATCTAACTTAGCATTAAAACAAAGTACATTGATTTTCTTTAAATAATCTGATTAATTAATTAAGAAAATTTATTAGCAGATTAAAGTAATATAAATATTAAAATAATAATAATAAAAAAGGAAATATTAGAAATGATCAACATTTGATAAAAGGCACGTGATTTAAGATAAAAATTTGTCCAGATTCAACATATAATAAAAAAGAACTAAATAAACAAGTTTTTTGTTTAGTTTTATTTGTTTATTGCTAAGATCAATGTTTGTAGGCAGAGGTAAAGTACTCTAATGTACAGCACTTAATAACAATACAATATCATTTAATTTTTTTTATTTATGAACAAATTCATTCAACTTCTAAATTTGTCTCTAATTATTTTTAGTATGTAATACATACATAGTACAGCTAATAAGAATTAAGGGAAAATACTCAAATATCAACATTTTGTTTTGGTCATATATCAATATTTAAATAATAAACATTAATACTTTCATAGATGTTTAATAATTCATTCAATATTAATTCTTCAATTACTTATATTCTATTTATTTACGTTTAAATTATTTAAATGATTATTTTTTTCTAGTGTCAAATAATAATTTTTTTATTAGAAAATATTTAAAAAAAATAAACAATATATTAATAAATTGATACTTTTTGTGTGATAAGTAATATATAAATATTTAATTGGTATTATAAATCAAAGAATTCAATCAAATACTTATCATGTTCTACTTCTTTCAAGGAATCCTGATATCAAGGAGGTCCGATATATTGAATTATTATTTTGATATTCATGAAAAATATGTATATATTTTCTCCAACACATTACAGGTGAACCAACGAATAAAATAAATAATAGTAATGATCTATTCTATATATCAACATTCCTATCCATCTAATTTTCTTTACTTTTTTGAGCGTGCATGTTCAATATATTTAAGTTGGATTACACGATCTAACTGCCTTAAAAATATACGTAATAATAATAAAATTATTTACCTGATTCGCACTAGATGCATTCTGAGCAGTATCAGAAATAATGGTAGAAATTCCTTTTGTAATTGTGACTATGATTTGATCATCGCCAAGCTTCTCTACAATATAATCTTCATCAGTGCCACCATCTTTAACCGATAGAAGATATCTCTGAGGTTCGACTGTACCATTGTTTGATTCATCAATATTTACAAGATAATCCGAAACAGTCTTCTTTTCTTCTTCAGAAACTATGCTTTGAGCATTCAATGGAATGAAATACTGAGAGGCTTCAATATCATCAACAGGAATCGTATCGCTGCTAGTAGTATTGGATTTAATGTTAGATAGATATTCTGCTTCTCTTAAAATATTTTCTAAAAAGTTACTATCAGGTTCATTAGTTTTTTTACTAGATTTTTCTCCATCTTTTAACTGATCGAACGTTTCTCTTAAATGTTTTTTTAGATGAGCTTTCTTATGTCCTGAAGTTCGAAACTTTGCATCACAAAAACTACATGAAAAAGGCTTCAGACCTACGGACAGAAAAAAAAAATACACATTACTATGTAAATTATAGAAAATAAGGTTATATAGTTATTAAGAGTACAACTACATTATAATGAATGCTTTGTGAAATCATTGCTGAGTAGATATCAGGACTGAAGAATTAAGAGGGCGACACAATACCAAACTGTTTGAACTGAGGTGACTGAATAAAATGGGGATATAAAGTTGCTATGAAGAGTAACGAATGAATCACTAAATGTATAAGGAGAGTTAATATGTTTATAAGTGTTCTGGAGAACGAAGCAAAACTATATGGTAGAATAATATTGGGCATAGTCTAGGGAATTTGGGTATTGAAGGAATTCTGAAGAGGGAAGTAGGGAGGAAAACTGTAGATATTTATCATGGGTGATAAATATTCAGGATGCAGTCTTTTTTAAATTTTTTTATTTTTGCCAATGTTTGAAGATATTTGTAGTAGGAAACTGAGTATTTATAGACATCCAGTCCTCGGATTCACTAAGCATTTTATATATTATTTTTATCAATATGAAAATTAAAATTACCTATCCAGAGCATCTGAAATAGTGATTTTAAGAAGCCTAACAGATAAAACAGCAGCTCTGACAATAGTATAGAACTAAGATACAGTAGTATAGTATGCTACTATTACTAGTCAAGTAATGGATCATCTATCTCCAAAAAGAATGTTTAAATTTACTAATTTTGTGGTTGCCGATTATGATCATCAAATCAGTTGAAGCTGTGTGCTCAAATAAATCTTTGCTGATAATAATTTGTCCAAAAATAACTTGATTTTATAAAAGAGATGGTCTTGTAGATATGCCATACACGATCTGTTAAAGAATCTTTATTTATTTCATTATGTAATTTTTTTATTTTTTTTTATTTTAATGAAATTTACAACTCTATTACATAGAAAATACAACAAGTAAATGTGACATTGGTAACATGACATGTACAACATGAAGAGAAACTACCCATTGGTAGAACTCAAATTAAAGTTCTATATTAGAAAGTCCCGAGGCCATCTTCTTTTCAGACGCCTCGGAGGGTCTAATATTAAAACTCGAAATAAGAAAATATCAAAACTTAATAAATAATATAATTGCCTTCCTTCTAGCACTAAGCAATGGTATAGTGAATTAAATCAATATTATCTATAGTGCTACACAAGAAGTTGGACTATTTATCACTAAATAAGTCCTGTCATTTCTATTATAAGTTTAACAATTGTAATTTATAAAACTCAATTAAAGAAACAATACATTATTATAATAATTACATCAAATATAAGATACCCTTGAATTTAAGATGCATTTGTTTTTCTCCATTGGTGTAGTAGGAAATTTGATAAGTAAAATAATGGTGAAAAATAAGGATCAGGAAACTTTGGAAAGATTCAATTTTCTTATATAATTACTTTTAGTGTATTTAAAGCAATTGAAAAATAAAATACATTAAATCTCAATCAATAAAAATTATATACCTATTTTTAATTTATTTTAAAGTAAAATAAATATATATATAAGTATAACATTTGGTGTTAAAAATATATTTTATAAATGTTTAGATTTAAATTTAATTGTGCAAACTGACTTAGTATTACATTAGAAACCTATAAAGGTAAATTGTAAAAATCTAAAATTAGGATGCAACAATGAAAAAAAAAAGTCTGTCAAGTAAGGTCAGTATAGCTTCCTCACCATTTTTATTTACTAAAAAATATCGATTACAAGGTCTAAAATTATTGGTATGAGAATAAAATATCTGGAAGAAGCCGTTTTCAGAAATTCAGTAATCCTTCAACATATACAGACTTGTTATCCATGATTTTTGTTTATCAGCAAATACAAAAATGTGAAAGAGTTCCACATTTGTTGATTCCATATTTGATGATTCATAATTTAAAAAAAAAATTCCAGTGCATACTGAATATGCATATCACTAGTGGAAATGGTAGTATGTAAAAATTGAGTGTTTTATATTTTATTGCCCTCTGCTATTTTTCATAGTAGTAGACTACTTATATCAATTGTAGACAACATAATGTCTAAAATAGAATAAAAATTGAAAACTTTTACATAACGTACGCACTAACAGTAGTGGTATATACTTAATAGCTATATTTTCACTCGTAAAGTGAATGGAACAACTAATCCATGAAACAAATAATTCATAGGAAAAATTCAACTTTTTGTTTGTTCAGAGTTAACGAGACCAATACTTTTCCTCAGTCAGAACAAAACTAATTAAGCTGGAATATAAAAATATGTGAGAAGTTTACACAATTTTGATATTTAAGGAGGAAATTGAGACCACGACAAGCTGGTTGAACTTCAATAGAAATAAACACTATCACAAACAAGACTTTTTTTTTACGAACTCAGAGTAACAATTAATTTTTTAATTAACACCTATCTTTTATCCAGCTTTGAGACAAATTGAATAAGCCGTTTCTGAAATACTGGCATATCCAAGAAAATACATTTACGCCTACGCAAGCGGAAGTACTTGATGGAATTTGATATGGGGCCATCTAGACACCAACCCACACAATCAGATAAATGGTAGTAGGTGATATGCCCGTTACATAGATTTGACTACAGAGGGTGGGTGGGATAGCCGAATGGGCTAAGGCGCGTGCACTGCACCGCCGTTGATCGGCAACCTGATATCTGGACAAATGATACAAAAATATCCACGAGATCGCGTCCCGGTGCCGAGGGAGTCTTTTAAATCCCCGCCCACACTCCCTGGCCCGGGAAAACCCTGTATAGCCTTAACGGCGAGGAAGGGGAGAAGAAAAAAAGATTTGACTACAGACAAATACTAAACTAAATTTGATCCTTGATGTCTGAAACGTAAAACGGGAGAGAAAATTTTCGATTCTGAGCACGAAATTTTTTGTAACACTTCCCACGATTGCAAAGCTTCTTTAAATTCAGTAGTGAGGAAGCAAAAAAGTGCTCATAAATTTGATGCAATATAGTAAAAAATAAATAGCAGAAAATATAGACAACAATCAACTATATAAATGATAACTAGCATTAATAAAATATTTAGATCCAAAAATTGTACCCGTATGAAGTCGCATATGTATCTTCAAACTACCAGTGGTAGCGAAGTTCTTGGAGCAGATGAAACAAGAAAAAGACCTATCCTTGGTGTGGGTTTTCATATGACTTGATGCCGTAGATTTGATAGAAAACCGTTTATGGCAGGAGGTACATTGGAAGGGCCTCTCCCCTGTGTGGGTCCTCAGGTGTCTTGTGAGGTCTGAAGGCTTCTTGAAGCTTTTAGGACAATATTTACACTTGTTCTGATGTTTCTCAGGTGCTCTCGGCTCTTCTTTAACCTAATTCATGACAAATTTCAAATTATTATTATATAAAATATAATAAATAAATAATATGACCTGTCTTACAACCCATGAAGGGTCTTGGATTCAGTACTATTTAGGGAAAGTACTGTTTCTAGATCAACGATTGTGCAAGAAATGAACAGGAAAAGAACTTTTAAAAGAAATTGAATGGCTTCATATCAAAGATGGACATCTGTCATTTTCAAAAGTGGAGAAAAAGTCAATTTTTGTTTTAAAGATTTAACTGAAACTGTTTCTGATGATTTTATTCAAGAATGTCCAAGTTAATTTTTAAAAATGACAGATTCGACATGAGGTCACACAATATTTCTAGCAAATGACATTAAAAAGTTACATTTGTACTTGGACAAGGTACAAAATAATACTATAGCAGGATGTCCAGTGATTCTCCTCCAAAAAAATGTCCTTACATTTTCTGATTTTTCCAGATTTCTCCCAGTTTTTCTAGAATTTTCTAGAATCTCTCTGTTTCACATAAAAATATTAATAAACACTGTCATGTGTAACGAATTAAGTAATGTAAGCACTCATTACAACCTATACTCATGTTACACTTTTTATTTTATTTTATATAAGGAATACTTGAAAACTGGTCTGCACAAAATAAATGCGAACCATATACAGTACATTCTCAGTAATTCGAGATGTCTTCTTCCCCCAAAATTCTCTTTTTAGACCTTTTATTCTCAAAAATAATGAACTGTTGCATCTAATAAGTCATCAGGGAGAGGGGTGGGAGGACAGACTGGGGATATATACAGGGTGGGCCTCCTTAAGCTACTGAATTTATTCCTATTTTCTTATAATGTCGAAAACAGCGAAAATGGTGATAATAGTGAAAATGATCAAACAACAAAAATGGCGAAAATTCTGAAACCGTGATAATGACAAAAAAGTGAAAGTTATGAAAAATTTAAAAATCTATTTAGCTACCTAACTTATTTCTATTTTTTTAATGGCGAAAATCATGAAAGTTATGAAAAATCTTTAAATTTGTATTTAAAAATACACATAAAGGCTTTTTGCAATAAACTGACAATATTATCATACTTTTTCTTGCATATTATAAATTTTTAGGCATATTAAAATTTTTACCACCTAAATCAGTGCCTTGATGATGACCAATAGTAGTAAATTATAAATGTTTAAGTAAAGAATAAATAAAGAAATAACAGGTTGAATGATTCTTACAGGATGTTCATATTTTTCTTTTTCAATCAATGACTGTAGTAGAACTTTCTCCGATATAGATGCAGTATTAGAATCAATAGCCGAGAGGACTTTAGTCTCTTCGTCTGTCAGCCTTCTGGCAGGAGGCCTCCCTGGGGATCTTGCCTTCTTTTTTTCTGGTACGTTCCTGCAACACGTCCAATTAACAAATTAATAGCAATGCAGAATCATATTAAAGTTAATATCTACTCTGAAAGTTATTTAAAAGCTAAATTGAATGACATGTAAATATATAAATAAGTTCTGGTTTGTTTTTCAGCTGTGTAAATATGAAAATACATGTTTGATGGATAAAAATGTTAAGAATATTATATTCTAAATTTTTCCCACCTCTAAAACAATTTCTTAATTCCATTACCAAAAAAAAAAAAAACGTTGCTCTTTTGTAATGAACAAGTCATCAAGCTGTTTTTGTACATTATAAAATTAAGAAGTGAACTGATGCTAAGCAAGTATATGCTCCATGTGCTAATATTTCCCAACTGTAAACATCGATCCTTTTCTTCACTGTTTTTGTAGTGTGTGACTGTTCATTATCAAGAAGCAAAATAACTTTATGCTGTCTATTGTTCATTACCGTTTGAAGTTCTTTTTTGATATTTATGGACATTTTTCACACAATACTTAATTCAAATCGATCATTTTTTGTCGACAGAGTTCAGTATCAACAGTTTTAGCTTCTCTTAATAGATCATACTCTTCTGATCGCACCAAACACTTGTCTTCTTTCCATAGTGACTTGGCCTTGCAATCGATGTTCATGATTCACCTTGGGTTACCTAAGTTTGACGCTTAGCATTCTCAAAATATATCCACTTTTTATCATCTGTCACGATTCCATGAAGCAATGACTTTAATTTGTACCTGGTGGGCAGCATTTTGGAAGTGGTTTTCTGAGTTACAAGCAGTATTTCATTCAATTCATATGGAACCATTTTCTTATCTTCTGGATCTTTCCCATGACTTTCAAATATTCCCAAGCTGGTAAAAGACAGAAGTTGAAGATCTTTGTCAACTGTTAGAGAAGCAAAATGGTGCCAATAATGCGTTTTAACAGTAACTACATTAATAACTAGAGGAATCTATGGATAAATTCTTGTTTCATATTGAAATACATGATACAAACAAACACAATCATTATTAGTTTGTTATAGTATACTTTTGAAAAAAAAACTTATTTCTTCTCTTTTGAGGCCTTTCTGTTTAATTAATGAAATATGGTTTTTAACATCACATATTTAATAAATTCATCTAAATTAAGTAAAATCTTAATTATGATTTATTTGCCTCTAAAGGAGAATGGTTCAGGCTGGGAAATAAAAGATGGTGCCTGGATTTTGGTTCACATCTTCTTTATCCAAAATAACTTCTTAGTAAAAGTAAAGTAGTAACTGGCCATAGATTAAAGTTGTTTTTATTCCTGAGGTTGCTGGCCATCACATAACAGTTAGTGCTTCTACTGAAGAGGTATCAAGTATTAAACAATACTTTTTGATAACAGTTTCTCCTTCGACTAATGAAGAAAACAATTCCTTTATAGAAAAGTACCAGTATATTCGCAGCAATTATTCCAGGATCGTGCGGGTGAGCTGAGTGAAGTCGTTAATTCCACTCGTATCAGCTTTTTGTTGACCTCAAGTTATTTGGTGCTTCAGTCAAAGATAAAACCAAAAACCTTCCATAACAGTAAAAATATCTACTGTTTATGGCAAACCATTTATTTTAAAATTAACAAATTAATAGGGAATGATTAAAAATGTCTGCCAAATAAGATCAGTATAGCTTCCTCACCATATTCACCAACATTTTCCATCAGTTAGAACAAAAGTAATCCAAGAAGAAATACAAGAATATAACTGAAGTTAACAAAATACAGAAATTAAAAGCCTATACATATTTAAAACTTATTGATGGTTACGTCTTATCTTTAACCATAACCTCAAAAATATTTGTAAGAAAGCCTCTTACTCCTTTGGGAAATCGAGATCACTACTAGTTGGTTGAACTTCAAAAGGAACATACTCACAAATATGATATTTTTTTTACAGCCTGTGCAAAATTTAATTTAAACCTACACATATACGGAACATATAGTAAAGGAAAATTGCAAGGCTAAGTGAAAGCTGTGTATGGCATTCAGCAAAATCTATACTGGACCATCTAAGTTTCAACCGTCACAAACCACTGAAAATTACATAAAATCTAATTAACGGCAGTAGGTGTCATGCCAGTAATATATAAAAGATGAAACATACAGTTTGAATTAACTTTTTCAATACAGTCAAAAATTTTATAATCTCATAAAACAATACTGTGGACATAACCTTCCTTTTACATTACCAATGCCTTCCAAATTTCACAGCCATTATATTTCTAAAAGTTATTTATATTAATTTTAATTGTTGAATAGAATTCAACGAAATTGATGCTAGGGAATTTCTACACTATTCTCCGCATTTCCTTCAACATTGGGTCAAATAAAAAGAGCCGTTTTCTATAGGCATGTTAAAAACAATACGTTTTAAGATTCGAAAGCAAAAGTGTTTTCTGAAAGTAGTCGATGGAATTTTCTGAAATTTATATCTACTCGATCATTTTTTTATCAATTCCTAACTTCCCTCCAGCTTTGAACCAAAAGGAACATGCGATTTTTAAGATAGAAACGTATCACGGAAAATATGTTTGGGCATATTTAAGAGAAAGCAATTGACGGAATGCAATGGAATTGATACAGCATAATTTTTTTACAATATCTATCTTTCTTCCAACTTTGAGTAAAATCAAACGTTTCTGAAATATTGGCATATCCAAGAAAATACATTTGCATGTGCGTAAGCGGAAGTGTGGGATTTAAGTGATATGGAACCATCAAGACACTACCCGCACAATCCATGAAAATTTCATGAAAACTGGATAAACGCTAGTAAATAAAAATTATTTTTAGTCTAGCAAGCAAAAAATAAGAGGTAAAAAAAACTAAAATAAACCTTTTTTTTCTCAGCATACATAACAAAAAGGAGGCCTATAAAAGATCTTTGAACTATTCACCTTAATAGTGTCGATTGATTTTGAACAACTGAAACTGAACCAATTGTTTCTATATTGTGTGCATCCAAAATTTCTGAAGCAGCAGGCTCTTTTTTCAAGTGAAATTTCATATGGTCCTGTAAAAGCAAAAATGTATTATAAATATTAACATTAGTTATTAACAATATTAAATTTCGATTAAGAAATCAGTCCGTAAAAACATATTCATTTTGAGCTCAAACACTCTATTCTACTCTCAAGTACCAGCCTTACATCATAGCCCAATAAAATTACGAATTAATAATTAAATTTGACTAATATACAACTTTTAAAAAATATTTAGCCAATTATGAGACACATTCCTAGAAAAATTAAATGTAACAAAATGGATTCAAGACAAAATTTATAGATACAACCAGAAAGACAAGACATAATGATTTCACTTGTACCAATAAATACACAATCAACTCGAAATTTCTTGACATATTAAACTAAGTTAATCTGGTATAATAACATTTACAGTTTATGAATTGAAAATAAAAATTACAATTAACTCAACAAATCAATCAATCCCACAAGAACCGATGAAAAATCAAAGGTTTAGACATTAGTAAAGGCGTTTGATTCTCAACCTTAAGAAAGAGTGGTTAGTATAGTGTTCCCACCACTATTTACTAATAACAAACACCTATTTTTCAGCAATATGGATCTAGGCAACAGTTTTCAAGATTCTTAGCCAGATCAATTTCTTTTTAAGAGAAACTTCAGTGATGAGTAGAGATCTGAACCAGAATTTTTGTGGAGAATATGAATGAACCCTAAACTCCATTAATATTGCACTTATGAATTATAAATTTACAAGTATAAAAAAATTAATTGTGGTGAAACTTACCTCATACTCCAATGCTGAAATAAAACTCTTGTTGCAGATTAAACATGTATGAGGTTTCTCTTGCGCATGAATCGCTTTATGGACTGAGTACTCTGATTCACTTGTAAACACAATATTGCAAATATCGCACCTGTCATAAAGTCATAAAAATAAAATATTACAATGAAATATAAGACCTTTAACAAAATATGCAAATCCACAAATGTTGGATAACTTACTTTTCCAGGGTCTGTGGTAGAAGATTACCGATGCTGTCGGTGATAACTGCTCCTTCTATTCCTAAATTGGGCTAGAAAAAACATAAAATTCCAATTTTAAAAGATTGAATAACAACTTCACTATTATTAAAAGGAGACATTTTCAAGAATTTCCCATCATATATCCCTCATTTAAAGATAGTTAAATTTAAGTTATCATCTCTTTTCAACTTCTAACTGGAGTGATATGTTCAACCACTCTTTGTCATATTTTAAAAATTTGTGGAATTCCCAAAATGCATAGATACTTCATATTATTATCAAAGCATACCTTTACCTCTTCAATTCTTAGTTAGACAATCAGTGAATTTGTAAGTATTCTTAAGAAAAATAGAAAAATAACCACACATTTACCTATTTATAATTCACCCAATGAAACACATTTACTATAGTAAACAAGGCAGTTATTGATAAACTAATTTTAAAAATAAAAAAAAAACTTTTATATAAATGTTCAGTTTCACATAAGTAGAAGAAAAATGTCTTGTGAATCATAGAAATAAGATGTGTTGAAAGATGTTTCAAACTGTAAACATATTAAAAGTGATGGAGTAATATAGATCCCTTTTTCAGATTTCAAGAGTGATGGATTCTGGACAAATGGACTAGGATTTTGTCAAAAGAAACAGAATCTCATCTAGAAGTGACAAATCTGACTTTTGATGTTTAAATTTGTTGACAACTTTAATAAAAGTCTTTGAAAAATTTATTATAAAAGGAGATTTGTTTAAGAATTATGACATCGTGTAACCCTCATTTAAAGATAGGTGAATTTAAACCACCAATTCTGCTATAGTGAATTTCACATCATTAAACCTCCATTCAACTCCTAACTGAAGGGATAATTCCAACCTATCTTTGTTGTCTTGTAAAAATTGTGGAATTTCCAAAATACATAAATACTCCAAATTATTATCAAACCATTCCTTTACCTCTTCAATTTTCAATTAGACAATCAGTGAATTTGTAAGTATTCTTAAGAAAAAGAGAAAAATGCACTTACATTTACCTACTTACATTGTACCAAATGGAACACATATTATGCAATAGATAGACTAATTGATATTAGTCAATACTAATTGATATTGATAGACTAATTTTGGATTTAAAAAAACAAGTTTGGGGCTCCACTAAACCATCGAATTCCTCTCGTATCCAATCCTTACAATCCAAAATCCTTCGTAAAATCCTCAACGCTTTCAACAATTTTCAAACTGTAAACACATAAAAAAAAAAGAAGTAATATGGCTCTCTTTTCCGGCTTTCAGAAGTGATGGATTTTGGACAAACTTCAAAAGATCGACTTGGATTTCGTCAAAAGAAAGGAAGGTAACCAAACCCTGTGTTTAAAGCCCTAAAATGAACCATTTTAGAGATAAATTACAACTCTTAAATCCTCCTCGATGCCATGGTACTTAGTGATCGAGTACATATAATGTCATTTAGGCTTTTAAAAATTAAAATATTGTTATTTATTATGGTCTACAACAAACTAAAAATCTATTGAAAAGATAAACGAAAGAGAATAATTCTGAGATTCCTTATTCACCTCAGATAATATAGAATGAGGCTTTTTGATATATTTTGATAAAAAAAAATTTTGTGGACATATTTGTGAAATGTTTAGTACAAATATTGCCTTAATGGTGGCTTATTCAACCTATTAAACATGAATAGTAATGGATAACCCAGGACTGTAAAGAATAAACAAAATTGAAGATTTCTTTCAAACAACAAAATATAAATAATTAGATTTAAATACATATAAATCTTCCAGCTCTTAATGCCACTGACCGCATCTCTTGTTTGTTTGTTTTTTTTTATTTTTTTTTATTCGTATATAATTAAATCTGTACCTATAGCTAGCATTTGACAATGACGAGTCTACATATTATTCATTATTTAAATACACTGACATTTTATATTGTCAGCTTTGCCTTTTCTTTGTTAGCAGAAACACACCTCATTTTAAAGAAGAACTCAATATATTTTTTATTATTTTATTTTTCAAACGAGTATAATTATAATTTTTCCTACTGTACATAGTCTTAAGTGTTTTATCATAGTTTTAAGTGTTTTGTATATAGTTTTTTTTTTTTTTTGTATATAGCTTGTTTAACTAATATTTTCTTTACTTTCTCTTTTTTATTATTGTTTTATTTTGGCCAGATGTAGTATTTTAATTGTGTTCTATTATGTTATTCTAAAGGGACTTTGTCCCAGGATAAAGTTATTTTCTATTTCTATTTTTCTATTTCTATCATACCTGTAAAAATATACAATTATCTAGCGAAGTTTCAAAGATCTGTTTTTGTGATGAAACTGCTGAGTTGAATAGGCTTTTCTCTTCAATAATTGTATACTGCCCATCGACCTGTTCCTCGGGAGTTATAGCAGACAAAGAAAAACCACCATCTTCATTTGCTAAGAAAAAAACAATTTTTTATATTTTTGACACTTAGAAAATCTAACTTCAATATTAAATGAGATTGAAAGGTAAAAACTATTTTTTTATCAGAAAATTTCCCACATTTTCTTTTATTGATAGAAGTAAATAAAAAAGAGTAAAATTCAAAGCAATAATAATTAGGTTTCATACTTTTAAAAGACTTTTGTTCATGCATTTCAAAGCTAATAAGTAATCTTATAACTAACTAATCACAAAGGGAAGAACCAATAAAAACATAATGTGTATAAACAAATAATAAAAAAAGCTATTTTTTAAATTTTTTGAGAAAGACCTGTTTCTTTTTTCTAACTTAGTAAAATTTTTTATTCCAATGAAGTAGAAAAAACAAGTCAAAAAGAAATTTTCATTCAATATAAATCCCGACCAAAATAAATCCAAATTATGTTTTTCTAAAATATGATTTGAAATTACGATTATATAATATATTGTTGTGATTTTTCTATGAACTTTTGGAATTTGAATTTATAATTTCCACCAATAGATAAATATTGGAACTGAGATGATGGTCTCAAAGCCTCGACATCAATCTTTCTGAGGCATTCGGCCAGATAATAAGTCAGTTGCTAGCCAGTCATTGGCCATCACACATAAGTTTAATCCTGGCCTTCGGCTAGTACAGATCAGTTAGCGGCCGACTTCCTCAAGTCAACAGCTTCTTTAGTTTTATGGCACCTAGCTCACTCCTCAATACCACTTAGTATTCACCCTGGAGTGAACCAAATTGATACATCATAATCAGAATAAGCATAGCTGCCAAGTTACAACTATATCTGAGAGATTCTATCAATTAAAAGATTGTCAACATTCCTGGGCATGTATAAATCATCTATAAATTTTTCTTTTATAAATTATAGTTCTATCATTTAATAGGCCTCAGATTCTTCATAGTAACCGAACAATCAAGCCCTCAAACCTTTAGATAAAAATAGTTTGAAGATATTAATTTCAAACAGTAATTTTCTACCAAAAATTTTAGTTGGATAATAATAATTTCCATTTATTTTAATAATAAGACATTTATAATAATTCATAAATTTTACATGTATTATTGAAGTGAAAACTTCTTTAGGAGCGTGTGGAGAGTGAATTAGATTGATCAATCAGATTTCATTCGGCATTAATGCTTGGGCAAAGTCGGCTTGAGTCGACTAATTAAAATATTTTTACATGTGAATTAAAATATCTCAGAAACTATAAATCGGGCCTACATTCTGTAAGCGTGGAAATTGTTCAGCATTTCATCTTCTCTGTACTGGGCTATGATTCAAAATTGTATCTTAACGCGACGTCATGTTAGGGAGGCGAAAAAGGAAAAAATAGTGTTGAAAACCAAATGTTAAGGTTAGTTGAACTTATGGATTAAAATATTTCAGATACTACAAATCGAGTCTGTATACTATAAGTGAGGGAAAAGTTCAGCATTTCATCTTTTTTGTAGTGAGCTATTATTTATAATTTATATTTCATATTATTAATCTTGCCTTGTTGATGTTTTCACTTATATCGTGTGGTCAAAAGCACACACCTTAATTTTTTTAAAATTATAATATGCTATGATATTTCAAAGTTATTGAAATTTTAAAAAGCATTAGATAAGAAACCAATTGAGATGATTAGTGTCAATTGTTTGCTGGAGTAAAGTATTACATTTTTATCGTGGGTGATAAATATTCAGGACGCAGTCATTATTAACTTATTATTAGTGCCAACATTTCAAACCAAACATGTGGGCCATCATCAGTGTGTGGTTCGAGCACTAAAGGTAGTCAATTACTCAAGTAAGTAGTCAGTACTGTAAAAATACCACAAACAACTTATGTTAATCCTTCTATTGATCTATATGCCCACCAATCAGAAGATTTTCTTCTCCTCTTTACCTACCAGGTATTCGTGGTATGCCGCCCTTAGAATACTACTTGTGAGCCACACATAGCAAATGTAAAACATTTTATATTAACAAAGTGATGTTATCTCTCAAGAAGCAAAGTATGATGGTACTTTAGAAATTTAAAAAGAAACAGTGGGATTTTATGAGCATATCCATTAGTTCCAATAACATTACAGGAAGAATTTAAAGATGATGACCAGCACAAAGCCATATCTGATAAAAGTTTGAACATAAATAAATTGTCTAGCCATGTTTTTATCATAAATTGAAAACAACGTAACAGAAATGAACAATAAAGGATAATATTTTGTGTCTGTATTATCACGCATTGGTAATTAATAATAATTGATTCCTGGACTTTAGAATTTTTTTTTTTTTCTATTATTAGAAAATTTCATGATTGCAGTTGCAGTAGTGAACATTTTAAATTATTACAAGACAGGTTTTATAACCTTTAAACTATCTGCTACAATTAAATCTATCTGGGAATTATGCATATTAAAATTTATTAATAACATTAAATGGACCATCACTTCTGAATACCTGTAATAGTAAAATGCTGACCAGCAGGCAGAGAGTTGATGAAGTCTCTGAGATCATTTTGTAATCCATTTTGACTTTTACCTTCATCAACCTGCTCTTCTTGTTGAACAAGTTCTTCGTCATCTCTAGAAGGGACTATTTCTTCATTGCTCGATTTTCCTCCACTGTATTCAACAGGCATTGGTTTGTAAGTCATCTGCAGCATACAGATCAACGTATGAACATAATTATATTACAATAAATTATATTATATTAAACTATCAGTGTTGGTACATGCGATAAAAAATCAATTTAGTACAACTAAATAATTACAAGCTGGTACTGTTGAACTTAGAATGAAAGTTCTGAATCAAAAATATAAAATATTTACACAATCTTTCTTGTTTTAATCCACAGAAAATTATCCACCAATAAATTTTAAGTGATCAACAGAATATAATTATTTTTATAGGATGTAGTAGATGTGAATTTCTTATTTTTTCAATACATTTTGAATACCATTTTACGAATAAAGATAATATTTCTTTGTTGAAAATTGTAAAGAAAGAAACAAAGTTTAGAAGTAGAAAAAATAAATAAATAAAACATTACTCCAAAAAAATTAAATTAAATAAAGGGCTCGGTACGACCATAACATAAAATATTTTATTCAAATTATAGATGAGTTTAAAAAAAAAAAAAAAAATTGCTTCATTGATTACAATTCTTTTAAATTATTAATACCTGTAATACCTTAATATTAATCTTATTATTAATACCTGTAATTATTAATACATGTAATACCTTAATAAATTATTAATTCTTTTAAATTATTAAAATAAAATAATTACTATATTTTAATTTAGTATTTATCTGACCGCACCCCCGACTAACTCCTTTTCATATTATATCAACGGTCAACCATCTCTACATGATTACAATTCTTGTTTTAATTTAATTAATTGAAGAAAAATCAATACTTACAGAACCAATTTTAGGATGAATCGCAATATGTCTTCTACAGGATAAAGATGATTTGAAGCCCGCACCACACACTGGGCAAGCCCAAGGAAAGCCAGGTAGATGATTTTCACTATGCCTTTTCAGAGCAGTTTCACATGTAAAAACTTTGTTGCAATCTTTGCATGTAAATTTTCCAGCAGTCGAATGCATCTCCAAGTGTTTTTTCAAGAGAGTTGATCTAGTGAATGAGCTTTAAGAAAAGAATAAGTATAATTTTAACAAGAAAAAGACAAGAAAATAATGATTAATTTGATATTCTGTCAATTAAATAAGAAACCTTGAATAGTATATTTATTTAAATTATTTATCCATAGAAATATTAACAACATGATTGAGTAAAATGTTCTGTAATTAATTTATTAATACATATTTATTAATAATAAAGGATAATGGGTGTAATATTTTACAATATATTCATTCTTTAGAAGATTGAAGCCACCTATATGAATATATAAAACATTTTTTTTCTCTTATTTTTTTAAATACACAACTGTCAATGTCCACTGACAACTAGTGAATGAGATTACTATATACAAATAAACTAGGAGAAAGGACATGATAGGCATGAGAAAGAGAATAAACCCATTGGCTAATCTACTGTCATGTTAATGGTTAATTAAGAAGATCTCTCATCTAACTCGTTTTCAACCTTCTACGGATGTTATCGGGCATGTTTTTATCGGCCATCAGTCTATTGGGATGACCATAAAGCTTTTTGTGAAACCATTTGTAATAAGTTTGTATGTGTTCAGTGATGGTTTGCAAGCACAAATCTTTGTGGAGAGTTATGTTACTAACATACCAAGCTGCTTGAGTAATTGTCCTAAAGGCCTGAAATATTTGTAGTTTCTGGATGCGTGTTTTTTTAGTAATTCCATATATTTGTGAAGCGTATGTACAAATTGGTTTTAATAAGTAAACATAAGTGTCAAGTTTTTGTCTTAGATATAATTTTGAGCAACGTTCCAATAGGGAATATAATAGTCAAAATCAATGATTTAGTGTTTTTGCTTAGCAGTGATGTGTGGGCCCCAAGTCATCCTTCTGTAATGTTAGATCTAGCTGTGTACTTAGTCATATTGGGGGATATGTTCATTGTCAACATAGATAGGAGGGCAGCTTTAGCGTGGGAGTGAAAATGTTATGTGTTGGGATTTGTTGATCTAGTTTTATTTTCCAAATTCTGTACCAGTTGTGTAGAATCTGTAGGTTATTTTGAAGAATATATGATGCATGTGTTGGGTCATTGTGTCTTGTGATAATAGTAGTGTCATGAGCATAGGTGGCTATCAAAGTGTTACTGGAGAGGGGTATGTCATGTGTGTATATTATGTAAAGCAATGGTGCAAGAATTGATTCTTGGGGCACTCCGGCCAAAATTAGTCCAATAGATGAGATTTCGGAACCTTGTCGAACAGAGAAAAATCTATTTGATGATTGCAATTTGAGATAGCATGTGGAAGGAAGTATTTTCTCAAGTTTATAAAGAAGTCCCTTGTGCCAGACCCTATTAAATGCCTATGCAAATGCTGCCAGAAACACACCAGTGGCATACATCTTTTGCTCTAGTACTGTTGCTATGTAATCTGTGACTCTGTGCAACTGTTGAGTGGTAGAATGTAATGATCTAAATCCAAATTGATGATTGGGTAAAATTGTTTGGTCTGTTAATAAAGTATGGAGTCTTTTATATATATAGTAATTTTTCAAAAATGTTGGCACATGTAGGAAGTAAATTGATAGGTCTATAAGCTGAAGGGAAAGAAATTTCTTTAACTAGCTTATGAATCGTGGATATATATGAGTACTTCCATTGAATAAGAAATTTAGAAGTCCTCAGTATAGCATTAAAGATGGTAGTTAGAAACACCAGAGCTTTCCTGAGCATTTGTTGGAGCACTTCAGCATTAATTAAGTCATAACCAGGGGTTTTCTTTCTTTGTAACATTTTAATTTGTTCTGCTACCTGAGATGGAGAAAAGGAAGGGGAGAGGAGGGGTTAATTATAATGGAGTGTCCAAGGAATTGAGTACAAAGTCATCATGTTCAGTGTTTGACAGATTAATATGAGGAGTGAAAACTAATGAGAGATGATTACAAAAAAGATCTTATTTATCTAAGTCAGACACAGCCCAGGAACTATCATCTTAATGAAGTGGTGATGACACCTCCCGGTGTTTTAGCAGCTTTTTGGTGTGTCTCAACAAGCTTCCATCATATGTTGATGTATAAGTGATACTTTTCTCAGTTGAATTTTTGTATTTCTTGATTTAATTGGTTGCTTAGTCTGTTAAATACCTGTCTATAGGATGGGGGTCTGTTCGTCTGCCAAACTTTTGTATTTAAGCTATTTTTGTAGCAATCCCAATCAATTATTCAATTGACAAGGTTTTCTTATTGCTTCACATGGTTCATCCAGCAGCAGCAGATTCACAAAGGGATGATCGGAGCAAATGTCAGAGCTAGTATAGACAGAATGTGGTATAGTTGTAAGTCCTTTGGTAATAAATAAATCCAACAGATCAGGTATTTTATGTCTAGAAGTGGACCAGTATGTTGGAGGGTTTGGAGTTATTGTGTCCAGTGAACGCTCGTCGTGGAGGGCTTTCCCATGATTCCTTTCCCTTGGAGTACAAAGTCGATACCTCCACACCTAGTGTTTTGTATTGTAGTCTCCTTCGGCGATAAAACAGTTTCTTAAGTGTTTAAAGAAGCTACAAAACATGGCAGATGTCAGAAAATAACTAGGGGGACTATAGATTGCAGCAAAGGTAATAGTGTTGTGTTTAGTATACAGTGTTATGCCAGTAGCTTGTATGTCAGGTGTTACTGGTAATTGTAGTGGATGGTGTTTATTAGTATTGCAGTGCCACTGTGAGCTGTGCTGTCTGGATAGTCTGTTCTGTATGTTTTATAGCCTGGGTTGTAAAATTTGGATCTGGGTGTCAAGTGAGTTTCAGTGATCAGTGCAACGTCAATTTGTTTCTTATGTAAGTATAAGCCAACTATAAAACTAAAGACTTTGTTTGTTTCAACACATCAATTTTGAAAAAATCTTAACTGATTTTAAAAAAGCTTTTTGTGTAAGACAAAATTTAATTGTAAGACAACATCAAAGCATATTAATTTAAATACAATTTTAATTATTGGTTTTATTAATTTTATTTTTTATAAAGATTATACAGATTGCTTACCAAGGGCAAAGATTGCATTTGTATGGGATGTCACCATGATGTTTGCGACGATGGGATTTTAATAGATAAAGTTTTCTAAAATATAAATTGCAGTCACAACATTTCCACATGTCTCTTTTAATTTCATCCTTTTCTTTTTCTTCTTCTTCAAGTTCACTGCTAATGTCTACGATACTACCTGTAATTAAAGGAGCAGATATTTTATAAAACAGATATTATAAATACTAAACAGTCACATATTAAACATAGAAATTGCATCACCCAGTAAAATTTTTATTTTATTTACCAGATTGCTATCTGAAAGATCTCTAGATAGTTTTTTGCTAGTTTTGAAATGATATGCTAAAAACACATCACATCACTAAATGGTAAAATGGTTAGTTTTTTTTATCCTCCCAGTTTCTTTCTTTTAATCCAGTGATTTTTTTTTCTTCAAAACTATGACTACCGTTGATTGGTGAAACACTATTCTCGTTACTATTTCCCATGAAAATTCCTGTACTTCATGTAACATTACAGTTTTAATATTTTCTGATGAGGGCTGTTTTTGAAAGAGGCCATAATTATAACTTTTATTCTGGCATTAGTTAAAACTGAACTGAGAAACATTTCTTGTAATCTCAGTAAGCAAAGAAAAACAAAATAATTCAATGGAATCAATGTTATCAACATAAGAATCAAAAGAAATAGGTGATACAATTTCTATGACCGCGACTGTATACTATAAAAAAGTTTCTAGTGATTAAACTTCCATTTTGTTCAAGGTAAAAATTTGGTAATACTTCATCAATGATTCTTAATTAGGTGAATCATTGACACAATTATTGTGCATAGTTATTTATTCTATTAATTGAAGGAAAAACCTAATGATAAATAACTAATATTTATGCCAACCTCAATTGGCTGATTAAAAGATTATAAAATTAATACCATTTTGAGTCAGCAGAACACTTCCATTAAATGAAGGAACATCTATTTGGTCAAGGGAAACAAATGAGGTTGGCACGGTTTCTTTTACATGGGACGCTATTTCTATTTGTGATAGTTCCATTGGAGCTCTTGTTTCAATTTCATCATGTATTTCAATTTCATTCAGATCTTCCTCAAAGATAATTCTTTATTTTCTAGACGTCTGCTAAAAAAACCAACAAAAGTTCAAATGAGATAAATTTAAAACAAACATATCAACATTTTTCATCAAATTAAGTTAGATGGTGAATTTAATATATTTAAATTAAAAATTCATTGAAAATGTATAAATTTCACAATATGTTAATACATATTACCCTTAACCTTATTTAATATTCTTAATATATAATATAAAATGGGTGATAATTATTCAGGAATCAGTCATTATTAAGTTTTTATTGGTGCTGACGTTTCAACCCAAACATGTTGGTCATCATCAGGCATTCGAGTACTTAAATACCTTCAGTGTTGAAAACACGCCCTGATGATTACCCATGTTTGGGTTGAAACGCACCAATAAAAACTTTCTAATGACTGCGTCCTGAATAATTATCACCCATGATATGTAGAATAATCGACTAACTTCCATCAATAATTCATAATATAAAATAAAAATAGGTTTGTCATGTTTTATGTTCATTTCAATTCATTGAATGAATCATATTTATTTATATTATTGATATTTAGAATAATAGACGTTCTGTAGAACTTTTTCTATTTAATATAGGTTCCGTAGAACCCCATCCCACTTCTACTTCACCTACTCAAGTATTGTCTAATTTCAATTCTTTTTATATCGACAAAACCAAAAATCATCTCTCAGCCTACATCTTTCAACATAACATCCATCTTCAACCTAATTCTATCAATAACATAGAAAACAATATTTTTTCCTCAAATACTCATTTATCACAAATGAAAAAAAAAAAAGAAAACTTTTTTCAGCCTCGCCAGACAAACTCTATAATCGGCCACCTTTTTTAATGAACAGATATCTGCCCAATGACTTAACCTGTTCATTTTCCCAACCCCACTTCTCTTATTGTTCTGTCTTTTTCAAGAGGCACTACACTATGTCCCATATTACTTCAAAATAACCAGATCACATTGGCACCCACTAACTACTTGGATTTCGCCCCTTTTTGATAAGGCATTTCATTTTACTATATTTATCTAGGTATTCCACAGTTTTACTTGCTTTTAAAGACAGTTAACTTCCTGTTCTTAATAGAATTTATACCTCTATTTACTTTAAAATTAACTCATCCAGCTGTTATCTACATTAAATTGATATACTAAAAAAAAGTTATCAGTAACAGCAAAGTTCTAAGCAATTACCCATAGGGAAAGAATTGCTACATAAATAATAACAATACCTCTTTATTTTATTATGCAATTTCACAGGACCAGCATGGTTGGAATTCCAAGACAACGGTTTTGGACTCATTTTATACTGAAACAAAAAAATAAAATTAAAATTAATGAAAATAGTTGATTTAATCATCAAAACATTTTATTTAATAATGTTCTGTACTTTCATATAAAACAAAAAAATATAAAATATAGTAAAAAATAAATAAAGGTAGCATTTAATTTTTTTGTTACGAAAAAGCAAACCAAAATTGATACTACAAAGCTTGATAAATAATAATTGCAAAAATAAATAAATACATTTTTTTTGTTGAATTTGATTTTATACTTAAAATTTTTAAGGAAAAGAAGTTAGGCTTTTGTAAATCTTATGTAATATTATCGGCAACGACCGATAGATGTGACGCCTAGTCAGAAAAACTATTATTATTATTAAATAAATTCTGATATAAAGAAAAACTCTAAACTATATTAGCAATGATATTGATAATTTTTCACTCTGCAATAAAACCGTAGGCTCTATCTGAATTGAAAAAGTAATATAGAAGAATACTTTGCCTTGTGTTTTCGTCAAGATATGAAAATTCTTGAAACAATTGTCAAAATAAGTATAGTAAAAACCCAATATTACAAGAATATAGGTTGGTTACTTATTGTGTATCAATATGGGTTCAAATAAATATAACTCAATATGATTGATAAATTATAATGTTTATTATAATAAATATAAATCTTGTTAAAAGATGAATGATGAGAAAAATGTTAGGAGATATTGAAAATCAATTACAATTATAATTACCTTCATCTGTTTCTGTTGATTATGTATTCTAACATGCCTATTCAAATCTGAGGGCCTCTTGAATTGTTTGGTACATTGATTGCAACTGTACAACTTATTATTAACTTTTCTATTGTCAACAATAACTTCTTTCATATTTTCATCTTCTTGCAAATTAGTTACAGTGATAAACACCTTTGCCAGACCACCTTTTCTCACTTCATTTTCTGTAACAATAGACAACAACAAAATTATAAAATCATAGATGATATAAGTTCAAATTTACAATTTACACAAATATATTACAATAAGGTTAGTACCCTTATTTGAGGAATCTGAACATGTATCAGCATTGACATTGACTTGATTACTGTGTTCCTTTGAAGAAGTATCTGTTTCCTTATCTTCAAGTCTAGTCAAACTACCCTGTAATTATAAATTAACAATTTAAAGTACAATAAAATTTATGATTATTAAAAATAAAAAAAAAAAATAATACATTTGAAAGGCACAATTAAAAAAATTTAAGATTTCTAGATATAATATAAGTATTCATGCAACCAGTGCTAAGTATTGTAAACCTCTCGAATGTGTTCAAGTCGAAAAACTAATAATGTTAAATATGGAATAAGGTTTTTTTTTTTTTACATTACTGAAATTGAAAATATCATTTAAAAAAAAGTGTCAAGTAAGGCCAGTATAGCTTCCTCACCATTTTCATTAGATAAACAATATCTTACAATATCTTTTTTTTTTTGTTCTTCCCTACCTCGCCTTATAGGCTATACGGGATTTTCCCATCGCTGGGATTTTATCATCTCAAATCTTTGTCTCCGGTTGCCAGGGAACTCGCGGTGCTGTGCACATGCTTTAGCCCATTCGGCCACCCCGCCCCCTAGATAAACAATATCTATATTTCAAAGTCTATAATATTTAGTATAAGAATAAAATCTATGGGAGAAGCCGTTTTTGGAAATACAGTAACTTGTTAGCATCCCCAGGTTTCATATCCACCAATTTTATTCATCAGTGAATACTGAAATATGGAAGGGTTCCACATTTACAAATCGCATATTTGTGAACCGTGATTAAAAAAAAATAAAATCTCAGTACATAATGAAGATTTATATCAATACTATTGGTGCAAATGGTCGTATTTAAAAATTGAGTATTTTACAGGAGAGCATAAAAACTAATTATTTCTTTATGATTTATTAGTGTAATTTCATATTTTATTTTCCTCTGCTATTTTCCACAGTAGCAGGCTGCCTATATCACTTGCATATTATGAAATGTCACCTTTAGCACCAATAGAATAAAAATGGGAAATTGTTACATAGGAATTTTGTACGAACAGTAGCAATATATATTTAATACGTATGTTTTCACTAGTGAAATGGTTTTGGAGTTAAGGTGACCAATATTTTCCCTCAGTCAGAACTAAACTAATTTAAAATGGAATATAAAAGTATGATTGAAGTTCACACGACTTTGATGATTAAGGAGGAAATCGAGACCAGGACAAGCTGGTTGAACTTCAATAGAAACACACACAATCACAAATAAGACTTTTTTTTACTAACCAAAAAAAGTAAAAGTTAATTAAAATTTACTGAAAATTACATGAAATCTAAGTGAAGGCAGTAAGTGTCATACCAATAATGTTTGGAATCGACCAAACAAAACATTATACATTATACTTTTTGAATAAAACCTAAAATGCTATAAATAACCTCATAAAAGTAATGTATTAACCTAACCCATATTCCATGAGATCAATGCCTTCCACATTTCACAGCCATTATATATAAGGTTTTTTTTTTACATTACTGAAATTGAAAATATGATAAAAAAAATCTGCCAAGTAAGGCTAGAATAGCTTCCTCACCATTTTCATTAGACAAACTGACAAACTGTCTTCACACAAGTGGAAATTTTTGATTCTGAGCACAAATTTTTTTTTTAACCTCTCACACGAATACAATGCTTTCCCACCTTCGGTAGTGAGGAAGCAGAAGTTGTGATTTCATACACTAATTGCTTCCTAATGTTTCTGTTTCAATCTTTGACTATTTGAAGTAGTTTATTTGTATGACTTCGATATGGATTAACTTATTTTTATTTAATATTTGAACTACATATTCACTAATGGTTGTTTCTTTATTTAAATCGGTGAACAGAAATTACCTGAGAGCAAAGCGCATGAGCTTTAGTAAAGTGAGCATTGAGGCTTCCTAATTTCCTAAAAACGCAACTGCATAATTTACATTTGAAATTCCTCTCATCCCCATCAGAGCTTAAGTGCAATCGCTTTATATGGGCTTGAAGATTTCCTACAAACAAATAAATAATCAGTAAATTACTAATAGAACCATTTTAACAGATTATTTGCATAATCATATTGAGTTTATTCAATTAATAATAAAAAAATAAAAAAACAATGGTTGAATATTTTTTTTTTTTTAAATTTTATTATGATATTTACAACTGTATTAGTATGAATACATCTAGTAAATTTGTACAGAGAAATATTATTACATGAAACACGCTTGTTGAGAAACTACCCAATGGTAGCAATCTAATAGTTGAATATTTAAAAACAAGATAATCAGCTAATAACTCAAATTAATATAGATTGTCAAATTGATATTGTTTTGAATGACTAATGTAGGGAGATATCAGAGTATTACTATTATTTTATTTTTTTAAATTTTATTTTATGAATACATGATCGTATAGTATCATTATACTGAGTACTGTAATATAATATTGCAAATATATAAATATATTATTACCTATTAAGCTTCTGTATAAGGTTATTATACTAATACTTAAGTAAAAACAAAAAAGAAAGTAATACCTTTTTGACTAAATGTTCCTTGACAATACTGACAGACATAAGGCCTTTCTCTGGTATGTTTCAACATATGTATTTGCAGAGAACCTTTCTGATTGAAAGCTCTGGAGCAAAGTTCACACTAAGGGGGAAAAATCAATGAAATATAATCATAATAAACATTTAGGAAATAGAATCTTTATAAATTATACAGAAGGTAATTTTTGTTATACATTTATCAATTAATGTTAAACACAAACCGTACTTTCAATTTTTCTTTATCTATTCTTCTGCATGATCTCTACACACTTTTGGCACTGATTTGGAAGCTTTCTGATCTCAGTATACACATGGCAGAATGGGAGATTCATTCGTGTATTGCACTTATACTCCCCCAAAAGCATTTAGATGACAAGCAAAAGGAAAAAATAAAATTTATGACCAATACCCAAGTCTTATAAATGACAACATTGGTATCATTTGAGAACTTACTGAATATTATTGCCAGTTCACTAATGAAGATATCTCATTAGTGGGAATTAAACAAGATTTGCTTATTTTTTCCAGAAAAGAAAATAAGGTATACCATTGAAGATTTGTCTTTCTCCATGCCAATGCCAAGGCTCACAGAACTGTCTTGGTAAGAGATATATTGGAAAAAATGGGCTGGAGATCCCTCGAACATACTCCTTATAATAGAGACTTGTTCCTCTGACTATTTTTGTCCATACACTCGAAAGAATCACTTGAAGGAGAACAATTAAAAATAAATGAAGAAGTCAGGGAGCATGTGCGTAATTGACTGACAACCCACTCTCCAAATAATTTCCAAGCTTCTAAATTGGTGCCAAAAGTGTGTAGGTTGATGCATGAGAAGACACTGAGAAATGCAGAAAAAGTGATTTGTACATAAAATTAATCAATAAATGTATGAATAATGATTACCATTTTTATTATATTCACGCTCATAAATAGAATCAATTTTCTAAACAAAACTGATTTTAAATGCCCATATAGATAATTTTTTTTTTCTCGTTCATCTTTTTCTTTAGTGAACTGAATTAAGAAATGATTTATTCATTTATTATCTTTTAATATAAACTGGATTATATAATTCAATTTGTTTTGTATTAACAATTAAATTAATCCAATCATTTAATAACTCGAATAATATTTTTACAATAAAATAAAATTATTTAACTTTCAAGATGTAACCGCAGTTAGTACTCTATACTTATTTAAGCAGAAACTAAGAATTAAGAACTCAGCAATAAGATATGCTTTAAAAAACAGCGAAAAAGATATCATTAAATTGAATGGCTTTATACCAAAGATGGATATTTGTCATTTTTAAAAAGTTGAGAAACACCTATTTTTGTAGCATCGCTTCAATTTAAATCATAGTCCATGGTACAGACCCCCTTTTTTTTTTTTTTTTTTATTAAATTATTAACGTCTGCTTGAAACTTCGTGAATAACTTTATCTCATCGTAACTTACAACTATTTTATTTACGAGAACTCTTGGAATTGGAGCATTTTCAATCTGGAGGTCAGCAAACTTTGTCTATTAATCAGGTACTAAAAACTCGTAAATACCCATTTGCTTTCCACTTGGATCTTAAGATAATTTGAACACAAAATTAAGAAAAAAGGTGGCCTACAAAAATATTGGCTCATTAGGACAAAATAACCTCGTTATTTTGACATTGAGACACCCAACCTCATGTTGCTACGAACCATGGTCTCCATGGTGCAGCGACAGGCCACCTGTAGCTCCATAGCAGATCCCTTTGGGGCCAATCTGGCAGTGTCTTTTCCACCAACACACTCGAGTTCAAGGAGAGTGACAAATCGGACTAGATCCATGGATTATGGCTGCCTAGAGTCAGCAGGTGCACGAGGATCTATATTTATTTTTTCGAAACAGACCGTCCATGGACCTCAGGGAGGCTACTAACATCCTGGTAAACATCCCTCGACATTGCTTAACTTTGATTACCTATTGCAAGCAAGTGCTTTAGTCCGTAAGGCTACTCCGGCCCCCTAATATACAAATATAATGGATGTCAATTACTTTAAAAGGGCGCTCTCCAGTGTGGATACGTTTATGACGCAGGAGTTGACTTGGTTTTTCAAAACATTTCGAGCAAAATTCACAGACATTATTTCCTCTCCTTCTCTTACTAGAATAAGAATACTTCTTCAACTTTCGAGTTCTTGCAATCTGAAAAAAAAAAAAAAACCTTTGTGAGTAAAATACTTCAGTTTAAAAAAATGTAATTATTGTATCTCATAACCAATAAATAATAGGATAGTAATAACTAGTTTTCAAATAATTTGAACTGATAGTTGAGAAACAAGGGCCTCTATCATATCACGCCTATTAAACTATAACTGGTGAGAGTAACTAGCTTCTTTGAGCTAAAAAAAAAGATATATTATTATTATTATAGTAGTTTCTGCATCTAAAAAATAAATCTAAAAAATTATTGAAGAGAAAGATATTTGGGGTGATCAGTCAAAAATAAAAATGGCAAAACTAAATAATAATTTCTCTATTTCTAAATAATAATTTCTTTTCTCAACCCTGATGAAGGCCTGAACTTCAGTGCTAAAATAAATATTATTTTTTATTTTTGACTGATCACCCCAACTATCCTTCCCCTCATTTCACTACAGTCAACCATCAACCAACAATTAACTAAAAAATTATTTTTTTACTTTATATGTGTATGATCTCACATTTTTCCTTCAACTCTCAACTTACATCACTTGTAAGAATTTCCAGTAAAATTGATAAATCTTTCAATCGACAATAGTAAAACTTAAAAATATTGAAAAATAATACCATACATGCTTTGAAATATTTTCATTGAATTTTATTATCCACAGCATATTTTTATTTACATTTTTTAAAGGTTGGGTAAAAAAAAAATTTCTCGAATGAAGTTTGTTGTTTAACCCAAAATTAATTCAAATTAAAAATTCATTGGTCAATTTTAAACAAAAACAGTAAGTTTTAAGTTTTAGAAAATGTTATGTAATGTATGGAGAAAAAATTGTGCAAACACATTTTTACAAATAAGAATTAAAAATCCATTTTCATTGTTAGTGTCAAAATATCACAAAAATTGACTTAAAAAATTATAGATGTAATAACAGTAAATTAATTTTTAAATTGCCAAATTGACTTATTTTGTTTCTTTAAACAGAAATCGTATTACCTTATGAAATTCTTTCATATGCTCCTTCTTTTCATTGTATGAATTAAATTTTGCACTACAGCTATTGCACTTAAAATATGTCTTAGGAGCTACTTCATTGGATGAAACTTTTTGTTCCTTGTGTTCTCGCATATGTTCTTGAAGGTATACCTAAAAAAATAATTAAAGATCCTAGGTCATTAGAAAGAAATTAATTTCATATAAGCATTATTGCCTATATATATATATATATATATATATATATATATATAAAAACCACTCATCTTTCAAATCAATGAACTCCATTAAACAGAAAGCGAAGAAAGTTGATGAAATAATTTATATTGTTTTTAAAGTTTTTTTAACGATTATACAATGCATAAATACAGACGTAGTTTTAAGTAAGAATAAGATAGAACAGCCTTGGTGTGATCGTTATTAATACACTTTAGGATGGCAAAAGGAGTTGAGCGATTATACAAGTGAAAAACATACATCAAAATCAGTCTTTAAATTATATTTTTATAGCCAAAAAAAGTTTTTTCTTCTATTATCAAAAAATTAAATAACTGCCGTATTATAATATGTTATAATTTGAAGTAATAAAAACAGTTGAAATAAGACAAACCGAGTCAGGTAACAGGTGTTGAGTAATGTTAAAACTAAATTTACTTTTTTTTATTCTAATAAAAGACTTTCTTGACCATATTCAGCACAAAATCCAAAAAATATATTATTTGCTTAATCTTCGCTAATATTAATCCAACTGTTTTTTTGTTTTGTTTTTTAAATTTAGCTTTATATGCTATTTAATTAACTCTCAAAATGAATTGAATGTCAGATGTATGGTTTTTGAGATACTATAAAAAAAAATCTTTACCCTAAAAAAAAATAATAAAAAGAAAATAGAATCGGTCCATCCATTCACAAGTTTCATAACTTAGAAACAAAGATAGTCACATTAACTGTTAAAAATTAGGATGCTGTAAATTTGACTCTATAATAGTAGTATTGAAAGTAAGAAGTTATAAAATTCTGTATAATTTTTTTCTGAGAAAAATTTATTATTTTACTATTTTTTTCTTCCTTTAACTTTTACATTGATTTTTGAACAATTATAAAGCCATTTTTACTATTTCAACTTAAATAAAAATCAGAATTGGTTTAATAATCATTTACAAATAATTTCTTTCAAATCAATGAACTCCATTAAACAGAAAGCGAAGAAAGTTGATGAAATAATTTATATTGTTTTTAAAGTTTTTTTAACGATTATACAATGCATAAATACAGACGTAGTTTTAAGTAAGAATAAGATAGAACAGCCTTGGTGTGATCGTTATTAATACACTTTAGGATGGCAAAAGGAGTTGAGCGATTATACAAGTGAAAAACATACATCAAAATCAGTCTTTAAATTATATTTTTATAGCCAAAAAAAGTTTTTTCTTCTATTATCAAAAAATTAAATAACTGCCGTATTATAATATGTTATAATTTGAAGTAATAAAAACAGTTGAAATAAGACAAACCGAGTCAGGTAACAGGTGTTGAGTAATGTTAAAACTAAAACTAAGGTCAGCTGAAGATATTAATTGACAAATCAAATACTAAACTGTAACACTATAGTTGTATTTAGAAAACTGCTTACCCTGCTTGTGAATTCTTCACCACATTCATTACAAAAAAGGCTTTCCTCCTGCTCATGAAGCAATATGTGTGCCTTAAGTCCTGCAATTCTGCTGAATTTTGTTTTACAAATAGGGCAGAAAGGATTGTCAACATTGTGTGTTGCTGAATGTAAAATGAGATTATTCTAAAAAATAAAATAAATAAAATGCTTTATGAAAAATATTTAATTTAAATCGATCTTATTGGATTAATCAAATAAATGGCTACATTAAAAAATGGCTGTAGACAGAGGTAAAATATGCAATTCAAAGACTAAAAATATAGAAATTGTAAATTTCAGTCACTTGATTATATTTTCAAACTTTTTTTGTTTTTTTTTAAATACAGTTTTCAATATTTGATGATATAAACACAAATGCAAAGTTGATAAAATGACAATTTTTCATACTCATTAAAATAGATTATCTACATTAAACTATCATAATGCATATATTAGTATAAAACTAGATTATCTATTTCAATTAACATGAAAAATATCTTTCATGATAGATAAGCCATCGAGAGAAATACATTTACAAATAATTGATAACAATAAAATATGCAGTTATAAATATTCAGCACTTACTTCATAATTAAAGGACTCTTGACAAATGTTACATTTGTAAGGCTTTTCGTGTAGATGTTTTATTTTATGTTTTCTAAACAGTTTCCAAGATGAAAACTCCAGATCACACTGCTCGCAGAACAATGGACCCTAAAAATGATCAAAAAAATGTAGGTTAATTATTCTAAATATTGAAGGAACAGTGAAATAGGTTTGGTGCATAGGTATATATATAGCTCAACTAGAATAATAATCCGGGGCGACAGCGATCTCATACAGCACTCATTGCTGAATGCGATCTGACATAGCACTCACATGAAACTAATATGCACTCCAATTTAAGTTCTCCATAGGTTTTGCTGGCTCGCATTCATATATTTATAGGTTAATTTATTTATGAGATTATTTTAATATGCTAATTATAGTTCACCGTTCATGTGTATATATATATAGGAGGAAGAGAAACTCCCTCTCTAATTGACAGATCTAATTTTTCTGCTGTCATGTTCTAGTGGTTGAACTATAATATCCCAGACTAAAAAACTAGGTACTATTAATTCGGATTCTATATTCATTGTTTTTTTTTTTGTTTTTTTTTTATTAACAATACAAATATAGAAGTAGTGGCTTATTCAAGGAAAATAAAAGCTGAAATTGAGAGAGATTGTGTACGACTAAACTGCTTTTATAAGCCAATAAACAACAGAGTGGCTACTATTGCAGTAGGCATCGTTTCTAACACTCACAGAGATGCTGTGCAATAATTGAATTAAGTTCTGTAAAGAAACTGGATATCAATTTTTTCTTTGTTTATGTTTATTATTACAACTAATAAACAAAGCAACTATAAACTAACCACATTTCTGTCTATATTTTGTTTCCTTTTTAATAAATCAGCTCTAATAACATGATTTATATTTAGATATAAAAAAAAAAATTGATAGAATAAGAAATTCACATTAGTGTAGCAGGATGGCTACCAGACAGTTAATGTAAACGTCCCTGACTTTTCTCTATTCAATGATAGTTTTCCCTCACCAATATGTCTGGGGACACAAATATTAAAAATGTATTATTTAAAACTATATTCAGGATTATTCTGGAGATCCAAGGAGTACAGGATGACAACACATCATCTGTTTGTCAATTTCAAGAGTGCCTACGACAGCATTAAAATGTCCAAGCTATATGAAGCGCTGTATATCTACCAAACTGGTGCGTCTAATAAGGATCACAATGGATGAGATGAAATGCTCAGTATGAATTCAGCGAGACATCTCACCAGAATTTGAGTCCAGGAGGGGGTTAAGGCAGGGCGATGGCCTCGCGTGTCTCTTGTTTAATCTAGCCTTGGAAAAGGTAATTAGGGATTCTGTAATACAAATCTCTAGAACAACTATTGACAGGCTGGTACAGGTGCTGGGATTTGCCAATGACTTGGACCTGGTGGCGAGATCCTTTCAGGCGTTGATGAAGGCATTTCTGAGGCTAGCTGAAGCAGCAGAAGCAATGGGCATGACGGTGAAAAAAGAGAAAACTAAATATATGCAAGCTGGACCTGATGTAGTGGCTACTGTTGGAGGGAAGGTGAAGATGGGTCCATTTTCGTTTGAATGTGCAGACTAGTTCACCTATTTAGGCTCAGTGGTCAGCAGCAATAACAGGATCACCCTGGAAACAAACCAACGTTTCAATAAGCCGACAGATGCTATTTTAGACTTAGGAAACACTTGAGGAGTCGAGTTGTCACTCACCGCACCAAATGCCAGCTCAACAAAATACAAATCCGGCCAATCCTCACTTACGGATCGGAAGCCTGGACTCTGACAAGTGCTGAAGAAAAGATCTTGGTCTTCGAAAGAAAAATTCTGTGCCGAATATTTGGTGGTGTCAAGGTAGGCGAGAATTGGAGGAGGCGAACCAACAGGGAGGCCTACGAGCTGTTAGGTGAGAGAGACGTGATGCGGCACATAGGGCTAAGGAGGCTGCCCTGGGCTGACCATGTCGTCAGGATGCAAGCGGATGAGATCCCGAGGAAGTTGCTGGACTGTAGGCTGCATCGGACCAGAGGAATAGGCAGGCCAAGGCTGAGATGGGAGGATGCTGTCATCAGGGATTCCAAAGAACTTCTGAATGTCCGCAACTGGAGAGTGGCCGCATAAGACTGAGCTACATGCCAAAGGCTGATTGAGGAGGCCAAGGTCCAAACTGGGCTGTAGTGACACAGATGATAATGAAAGAGTATTGGTATGTTTTTCTTTTCAAAAAACTGTTGTGCCAAGTTCATTTTGCTTAAATTTTATTCATTACCCTTGTTTGATTTTAATATAACAACCAGTGCCGTTATTGACATTCAAAGGTGGATGAATATAGCAAACGTGGCCGTTTATAACAAAGAGGTTTACCCCTTCAAGGCCATTATAAACAGCCATGTATATTTATTTCTAATTTGAAAAAATATTTACATACTAAAAAAATCCCTGCCTTTAACAATCTCTCCCTTACTTTTCCCATTTTTCCAGGTTGGTCGCTACCCTTTGTAAGGAATAAGATATCCATACTAACTTCTATAAAAAAAATACAATATGTCTTTTTATAAAAAACTATAAGCAGTTTAGCCTGTTAGAAATAATTTAATTAAATGCCAAGAGTAATTAAAAAATCATAATCTAATGAGGAAATGCCAAAGAACACAAACATTATGGTAGATACTAGAAGTAACTCTTATTGAACACCTATCAGCTTGTTATCAACTAGTTCAGCCATGAAGTATTTTTAAAGAAATTTGATAGTGAATACTTCTTTTGTTAGAACTACTAAATATTAAAAAATAATTGGAAAACAAAAATTAAACTAACATAAAAATATCCTACAAGCTACCAAAATAATACTTATAAATAGAATATGAACTAATTGTAATTTTTTTTTAATTTCTATTCATAAATAAACTGCAAAAGAGGATAAAATAAAATAAAACAGAAACTTTTATTTGTAATTTTAATTTTACAATTAAGATTATTATCATTAAATATGAAAAGAACTAACCGTTTTATCAGGGGGATCAACATCCTCATTGCACACAGATTTGGCTTCTTTTGATGAACTGGCAACATTTAGCACCTTACTGTAACTTTTACTCTTACTTACTTCTCCTACAGTATCACTAAGAAATCCAGAAAGACAATGTTAAAATTATAACAATAATTACAAAACATTAATTTACCATTTATCAAAAAATTAATTTAAATTATTTAATTCAGGCATAGGTTGTAAAATACAAGTGAAAAAAAGAACAAAATTGCTTAATTATACTTCAAAAACTAACTATGATTTAGCTTTATTAATTAAATTTCATGCGATAAAGAAACAAACTGTTTTTATTCAGTTTCGAGAAAAAAATGTGTCGATTATTGATTAATCACTCCTTACAAAAAAGTTAAAGTTAAAGATTTGATGAATTTACCCTTTATATAATCAGAACACTCTGTGTTTAATATTATTATTTTTGACATAAAACGTTTGTGTTATTTTGATGAATTTAATGAGTTTTTATTTAGATAAATATGATTTTCTATTCACATTTTTTGAGTTCTAGTTTAGTTTAATTTAAAAAAAAAAACACAGATAAGTATGATTGGGATTAAACAATTTTTACTTAAAGGTTTAGTTCCAGCAGAAGTTTAATTAGTGCTTTCTGCAATAAATTGATGATATATTTTATGAAAAATTCTACATATTCAATTTAAAGATAAGTAAATTCCATTGAAAAACAAACAATACTAACAAATTACCACCAGTTTTAAAGCAAAGATATTTAATTTAGTAACCATGTTTTTAAAAATATTTCCAATATTTATGTTCCCATGAAAGCTTGTTCACTTTTTTACTTTTTGAATAACGCAAAACCTATATAATTAGTGGAACATTTGAAAGTCATGTTTGAAAGGTCAACAGATAATCTAAAAAGTCGAACTTGAAAAAAAAATAAAGAAAGAAAGAAGACACATTAATTGTTATGTGACACTTATCTAAAGACTTTTTATTCTAATAAAAGACTTTCTTGACCATATTCAGAACAAAATTCAAAAAATATATTATTTGCTTTATCTTCGCTAATATTAATCCAACTGTTTTTTTGTTTTGTTTTTTAAATTTAGCTTTATATGCTATTTAATTAACTCTCAAAATGAATTGAATGTCCCTGCAGATGTATGGTTTTTGAGATATTATAAAAAAAAATCTTTACCCTAAAAAAAATAATAAAAAGAAAATAGAATCGGTCCATCCATTCACAAGTTTCATAACTTAGAAACAAAGATAGTCACATTAACTGTTAAAAATTAGGATGCTGCAAATTTGACTCAATAATAGTAGTATTGAAAGTAAGAAGTTATAAAATTCTGTATAATTTTTTTCTGAGAAAAATTTATTATTTTACTATTTTTTTCTATTAACTCCTTTAACTTTTACATTGATTTTTGAACAATTATAAAGCCATTTTTACTATTTCAACTTAAATAAAAATCAGAATTGGTTTAATAATCATTTACAAATAATTTCTTTCTAAATCATTAATACTACTTCATTCTGAAAAGATGTTTAGACTTTTACAGATCAGCAATCATAAAAACATTTCATTATAAAAGTTTACTGATTGAGTGAATAATATATTTCAAGAATCAGAATGTTATGAGCTAAAGAAAATTATAGTAACCGACATGACACAATATTGCTTTAAGTAAAGTCATTTCAAAGATACTTGTTTAATCGTTTAAAATACAGTTTATCTTTAAAATAATAGAACTTACCCAGGAAGTATAGAAGAATCATTTGGTGAGCTCCAACAATCAGTGATTTCATTTTTCAAAAATTCTACTGAGGTTTCATCAGATGAGTATTCTGCTGTGTCAGTGAAATTTTCTTCACTTAAAATAACAGATCGGTTAAGGCGCAGCTGCAAAATATAATATATTTACGAAATTAAAATATAGAAATTCTAAAGCAAATGCTAAAAAATCTCAAATTATTATAATTTTTTATCACAAAAATGAAATTATTTTCCATAAACAATTTTTTTTATTGTATTGAGTTGAACATATACATTTTTAAAACTTAAAATAAAGAACAAAGTCTGGTCTAACCTGATTATTGTTTATCAAATAACCAATATGTGATGAATTAGCATCTTGAACAATTTGCACAAGATTAGGTATAGTCACATATGTTACCCGATTCCCATTATTGGAAAGGTATTCTGAAAAAAAGATAAATAAATAAATTAAAATAATGAAATTAATTTTTAAAAATCATTTATTATTTTATTTAACCAGTATTAAGACTAGTTTATGTTGCTTTGTTGAAAATTGTTGTAGGAAAATTGTCATTTGCTAGTAATACCATTGGTACTTGTTTTTGGTGTTTGCTATCAATGCAAACACCATATGTACCTCTCAATTCAAAGAAACTAATAATGTCTAAAATACTGCTTCTAAATATGGATTGTTTCTAGGTCAATGGTTGTGCAAAGAGGTGATTTGGCAAGGATCAGGCTCAACTACCAGGTTTTCCCACAACTAATGACACCCACTTCATAGATATTTTGAGTGCCTCATGAGGATTTCTCAATCCCAGAGTTGAACAACAGCTAATATATAATAAATAATTGTACCTGGACCACCTCAAATTTTTAGAAACAAGTCCTTATGATGTTAAAAGGGCTTTTAAATAATGAAATAATTGGTATTAGAATATTTATTGTGTAAAATTGTAATATTTTCTTCATAAATATAATGTGAAAAAAGGTTAGGTTTAAATTATTGAACAACTTCGCCATAGCCAGTCCCAAGCTCTGGTTGAGAAAGAGAGAGGGTTGGACCTTTAGAGGTCCGTAAAACTGATAGTACTGCTGAGGCACAATAATGCGGCAAGGAAACACATCTGTGGTTAGAAAAACCCCTAATGAAAAGCCATGTTGGGAGGCAGCAGCGTCAACATTGCTTCTTTTTTGTGTAGCATGAAGGCCTATTGTATGGCTCTATTAAAGTCACTCCTAATAGGGAGTAATTTCTAGAGTCTCGATAAACCGAAGTAGGCTTGTTTGGTTGATAAGCTCATTTGTCTTGGGATCAATCATCCTATCAATGCCAAATAAATGGAATCCCAGTTACAACATTACTTAATTGGAGCCAAAAAACTTCAGTTGCTTCGGTCCTTGAAGATAATCATCAGGCGGAGCGCCGATACCGCAGAACGGCTGAGGAACTGCAGAGGGATCTACCCCCATTAGAAAAGCCTTTTCACTTGAGGTCAACACGTCAACACTTTGTAAAAATAGCAGAAACAGCCAACTCTAGTTCCAGGAGACTAGTGAGCTCATTATATTAACACGTTAGCAGTGGTTATGGTCCCCAGGTTCCGATATTCGTCTCGACTTTGGTTGCGATTATTTCGAATTTCGTCTGTCTTACAAATCTCTAAAATGGTCATTTAAAAAAATATCTCAATGAGAGTCCGATATAGGTAAAGATAGATACAAACGTAAATAATCATAACTGAAATAAAGCTATAGGACGCAGGAGACCATAACCGCAGCTAACGTGTTAACATATTCATATTACTGTTTACTTTATTTACATAATTACTGTTAAAATAGTCAGTTATTATGTTTCTTAATTGTTTGTCAAATAAAACTATTTAGTATGATTTGCTAACATAGGAAATTTCACCTGTAATAAAAATAAATATAGCAGGATGGTGGGTTTTGAGACATCTATTCGACTGTTGTAAGCATTAAAAAAAGTTACCTGAATTGACAATGGTCCCATCTGGACTGTATAAAATCGGTTGGGAATCAGTAATATCAGAAATAAAAGTACTAGAACCATCAATAAGTCCCATTTCTTCTAAGTCAACTGTATCCATGAGGATACAGAATTACATAACCCTGATCTGAAACACTACAGAAATAAAAAATAATTATTTTATGAAAGAGGCAGTAATATAATCAACATGAGGAAACAATTGAGGTTGAGGAACCATAAACACTTATTAGAAAAAATATTAATAATAATATAAACTTAAAACAATCATAATAATAATATAAATTTAAACAATCAGACTAGAACAATGAGAAAAAAAGGGGCTTATCAAATGAAATCTATATTACTCATCTAATGCCACCATCAAAAGTGTATTGATCAAATTACAATCCTTATAAATAACAGAATCGTAAAAGATAAAAGGTTTCATTACTAAATAAATAAAATAGAATAATAAAGTAACAATTATTGTTTTCATTTAAAAATAAATAATAATGCTTAGTGAACCCAAAGGTTTGGTGCTGATATGACCAATCACTGTTTCATTAAGAATAAATACACAAACAAAATTAACCATTAATTATACTTAACTTAATTAATGTATTTCTTGACAAAATATAATTTTTGATAAGCATTTATAATTATAGATTGTGAACTAAAAACATCCTTCCTCCACCAGTTTTGAAATTTTGGATAAACTATTTTTGAAACAATAGAATGCTTCTTTCCCAACAATATACAATCAATCATCATTCCATTCTCAATCACAGCACCATTATAATTTGTATTATTTTTTAAAAACTGTTATTCATTACTTTATTTATTATTATTTACTATAATAATGTAGATATGGTTGACCGTTAATATAATATGAGAAGGAATTAGTCGAGGGTGCGGTCAAGTAAAAAAATTAAAATATATAAAATAATTTATATATTTTAATTTTTTTACTTATTTGACCGCACCCTCGACTAATTCCTTCTCATATTATTTACTATAGATTACTTATTATAAGATATGAAAAATCATCTGACTTTGTAAAATGAATTTAATAGCTAATAGAAATTAATATTTTCTGATCTTGTTTTAAATAAATTCGTAGGTGAACGTATATTTAAAACTTCTATATGAACAATCCTATAGTTCTATAAAATAAAATTAATAATTGACTAAGTACAGGTTTGTGTCTGGTGATGTTATACAAAGCTCAGTGCCCTGCAGAGGTTTAATGATCGGCTGTATTTCATAGGGATTTTCAATATTGAATATTTAATAGTTGACTGTTGCATTATAAAGGAAGGAGATGGTCTGGGGTGGTGGTCATAAATAGGCTAAATAGTGGTAAAACTATTTTATTAAAAGCCGATTATCAATATGTATAAATTATAGAAGCGATTCCTTTCTTGAAGTCAATAGCAAAAAGATACGCATTCACTGAATGTGTTGACTTTTTACATTCAATTCTTAATTTTAAAAAATAATATTCTTCAGTACTTGATATGCTAAATTTTCTTAAAATACTGTCCAACTAAAGTCCCTTTTGTCGAAACTCTCATAGAACTTTCCTTTAAGGAAAGAGATGAACACATAAATTTTCTTCTTTTCCCTTCCTTTTTAGCGTGATTGAAGTCTTTAATTAGTATCTTAAGAGTGGATCCAGAAATGTAACAGATTTTCTAAAAGCTATAAATAGAAAAAAATGTCTCTTTCATGATCTCTTCCTTTAAAAGGTACAACCCTATTTCACTGGTACTACCCACTACGCCGACTGCTAACATTTGGGTACTGCTTTAGAGGAATAGAGAGAAGCATATTTCGTTGCTAGTGTTCGGCATTCTACGTATGACATCATATCTTTCTGACTACTCCTAAGGCAATATAGCTGTTCAAGGTACGTCGGTTCTATGTTATGTTATCATATCAGAGAAGAGTTTTGATAATAACAGTCACCTTATGACATTTTACTTCTTTTATAAAGTCAGACGAAATTAAATGAAAAATGTTTAAAATTTAGAAAAGCTAAAGTAAATAATTTTTGTATAGTAAATAATAATAAGATTGAAGTAACAAACTAGGATGATAAATGCATTCCACTGCGGTGAGCAGTTTCAAAATACACAAGCAAACAGTAAGCATAGGATGGTGGTAGATACTGTGGGAAGTACCATTGGAATAGTACTTCAGGAGAGAATAATATTGTAGATAATTAAATTTTAATAGTAATAGATTCATCTATGCTCTATGCTCATATATAGAAACACACTCAATATCTACATGAATATAAATTACAAATAATATGTTCAAAATTGTTTTAAATTGCTGACATCATATCCCATTAGAAATGTAATTGATCATTTAACAATGATAACAAATAAGTGGTTCAATGACAAACCATGGGACAAACAGTATGAATGTTTAATAAAAAAAAAATAATAATTTAATTTTTAATTCTATGGACATTTAAGAAGAGGTAATCATTCTTTAAAATGAGCAAATTTTCTAAAAACTAACAATTAAAATAAATAAATTTTAGAAACCTGAAGAACAGTAAGAATTTCAATGAGAAAAAATATCATAAATATAAGTAATGAATTTATGTTTGATAAGGAATTGTTTTAAAACATCAAATATTGAAGAATGTGATTATGAACAGTTGGTTGAACAAATAACAAATATATATTTAAAATTTAATTAACCTACAAAATAGTATAAAAATTGATGAAACAAAGTATGTAAATCAATAGATCAATGAATATCTTCATTGATATATTAGCAAACAGATTAATATTGATTTAAGAAGAGAATGAATAGCAAACAGCAAGATATAAGCAGCCAAAACAAAAAAAATAATAATTGTTTAAATGTTAAATAAATCAAAGTGACAACTGAGGTATTATTATACTTAGAAAACATAGATTTACTTAAGAGTCAACAATTAAAAACAAACCTTAAGAATATTATTTTGTGTTGGCTTTGCCTCAAACTCATTTTAAATCGTGATTACATCATAATATCAAACAAAATCCCGCAATTAAACAATAACGAACCACAGAAACAGGATTGTTGACATATTGCTAAACATATGATACAACTCAATGAACATCAAAGAACAGGTTTCTTTTTAGGTTATACCTCTTTGTCATGCCGGCAAAAATTCGTACCTATTGACAGTAATTAAATAACGCCCCTGCAAATAAGATATTTCTTTCTGCTAATAATTATTTTTAAAAACTTTATTTACTACTTATCTGCTAAAAATCGAACCATTGTTAATATAAACTTGTTTGTAGCTCTAGAGGTCTACTAACACTCCTTTAAATACTTCAATATAGTTACGGAAAACCCTGTATTTAGGTTTAAACATGTAAAAAACAAAATTGCTAACATGGGTCACCTAGAGAAAACTTTTTATAGCCAAAAAAGCCGATTTTTTCGATTTTTTTTTTATATATTATTACTAGACAGTGTATCGAAGCGAAAAACTTATTCTTTACTAAATAAAAGGACATTAAATTGTGCATCGAGCCAGTACCTAAAATTAATAATTTGATTATGTTATATGGTCGATAACCACGGTCAATGATCGGTAATTTTAACCAAATTTGTCAAATATTGAGAGAGGTTACCATAAATGACCCTGCAGCATGGAAATGAGTTCTTTAAGAGAAAAAAAAAAATTCTAATTCCGATCATGTCGAAGACCAGATAATTAATACTTTTCTTCATGAAAAAGTTTTCAATAGCAGCTATTTTAAGAAAAGAAAAACACTTTCTAATGAGAAATATACAAATTATTATCGTGACCAGTTTTAAGAATTGTATGGATTCTTCAAGGAGACAACAGTTGGAGGCTGCAATGCGTCCAGATCTATTGGAACTGATTAAAAACTGGGGCTATGAGAAAAAAAAACGTGTTTTCTTGTGCTCGAATAAAATGATGTTCAAATGAATAAAGTTATTTTTTTTTATTTTTTATAAATTGATATTCCTCTATCATCTATTTCATCTGCGAAACTGAGTTCGGAGTCAATAGGGCTCCGCTTGCCAGCCTTCGCTGCTCATGGCGCACAGAGATTGAAATACAGAAATTTTTTTTTGTATTTTAAACTATTTTATGGTATTTAAACAATTATTTTCTTTTCGTCAATAAAAAATAGATTTGTTGCCTAAGATATTTCACTAATTCTATTAATAAAATATTGATTTTTAACGTTGTATGAGCCTTTCGAATCCGACCATGGAATAATTACAATGAAAATAGTTAGACATTATTAATATTATTTTCACTAACATTTTGTATGTTATGGAACTATTTCTTTTTATAATCATAAACAGCTATTCCAAACGATACACTGCGTGAAAAAATAAATTACTTATTCGTATTTTCAAGCCCACTCACTATATTATTTTGAAAAGTACTAAAATAAAATAAAAAAAATTGATGATTCAGACCTTTGTATCGCAGCCAATCGCAGGTCTAACATCTATTTGATTATTGAGACTAGAATCCTTAAAAAATATTAACACAGATTCCAGCTGCGTGTGTAATTTATGAATAATTAATTCTTGCAAATTGAATTAAACTTATTAGTTAATTGTTGAACGATCACCTATATGAAATGAAAAGACTTTTTCAAGTCATGACCCTAAAATAAACGAGTATATGATTTTAAGTACATCCGCAAATCCAGATACCTATCCTTCCATAATAAACTTCATAACCATCCGAATCCTCTTGTTTCTAACCTTGCTTCCTCTTCGATTCCTGATAACCCTCCGAGGCGTCTGAAAAGAAGATGGCCTCGTGATCTTCTCATGTAGACAAATTATTAGAGTGCTACCAGTGGGTAGTTTCTCAACAAGCGTGTTTCATGTAATAATATTTCTCTGTACAAATTTACTTGATGTATTTATACTAATACAGTTGTAAATATCATAATAAAAGTTTAAAAAAAAAAAAAAGTACATCCATATGTATTATATAGATTAATATATCTTTTTATTATATATTAAATTAGTAATGGACCCCTAAAAATATAAATTAATTGTTAAAAAAAAGAATTGGTTAGGTTTTATTTATCGCATTAAAAAGTATTTTTTAATATGATATATAAATTAGTATATCTTTGTATTTTATTTAAAATCTTTCGCTTAGGTATAATTAGATGTTAAAAAATATATATAAATAAAACAAAAATTAAATTAAAAAAATGTTTCTTCAGGTTCTACTTATTTCGTATAAAAATGAAGAACTCCACCGCATTATTGTCATGTACTATATAAGTTAGTAAATATTTAATTAATTCGAATTTGGAAAAAAATAGTTGTTAAAAAATAATTTCATGTAATGAGGTTTTGGTATTTGGTCGTTCGGAAAAAAATCATAAAATGAAATCTTTCAACCGTCCATGTCTTAGCAATATTTCTTTTATTAAATTGATAAACGATTTCATTTTTTTAAAGAATATACCTCTCATAAATTGACTAACTACTTTAACTGTAAAAAAATGTAAACTACAATACCATTTCGGTTATCCGTCCTAGTCAGAATCGATACATCACCGGTTAAAATTAAATTAAAAATTAAAAGTGTCTACAAAAATTAATTTATAGCTTGTATGTCTATTAATATATGTGATTATGATGGTATCAAAACTATTTTTCTGTGATCTACAGATCAGTATAGCTAGAGTTATTTATCCGAAAAAAGCGGAGTTTCAACCACTGGGCGGTGGCCCAGAAACAGCATCACTTCGCCCTGCTTGCCAACTTTTGCTCTTACATTCTATTGTTTGTTTCACAAATCTCGCCATGCAACAAAGCACTGGCGCAAGTTGGTCCACAGCCTGGTGAGGTGACGTAAGATTAATAAAAAAGTTCATGATAATAATTTTTTTTAATATCACATAAGAAAATTTTACTAGTTTTTTTGGAATCCCATGCTCGATTAGAATATTATAGTATCTGGTGGTGAATAGAATCGTAAACCTTTTTTGAAATCGATATACAGCTGGTGAACAATACCGTTGTATTCCAATGTTTTCTCTAATATTTGCCGAAAAGAAAATATTGGTCAATAGTCGAACGATTCCGTCGAAATCGGCATTAGTAGTCTCCGATAATTTCCTCCGTGATTCTACTAGTTAAGATTAAAGTGAATATTTTATAACATACCGGAAGGAGTGAAATTCCTCGATAGTCATTACAATCCGTCCTCGGACCCTTTTTGTGAATCGGAATAAGAATAGATTCTTTCCATTCTTCAGGTAATTTCTCATTCTCCCAGATCTATTTAACCAACCGATGTAATTTAGAAACTGCAGCTTCCCCGCATGCCTTAATTAGTTCAGTAGGAATATTTTCGATTCCCGCTGCCTTATAAGATTTTAATTTTCTGATAGCTACTTCAACTTCCTCTTTACTTGGTCCTTCTATTAACGGTTCAGCACTCTGGTACTCAGAAGGAGGACACAGATCATAATTTCCCGTATTTAAAATATTGTCAAAGTGGTACTTAAACTTATTTAATATGTCAACCGGATCGGTCAGAATATTGTTATTATCATCCCTAATACCAGACGTTACGGGCCCTACACATTTACGTGATCTGTTTATACCTTTGTACATGTCTCTTACGTTATTTTCGATTCTATTAGTTTCTATTTCAATTATATTATTTTTAAGATACTCCCGTTTTTTATTTTTGAGCAATTTGTCGTTTCATTCTTTGGTGTTCGGAAGTATTCCAGATTGACTTGATTAGAATTATTTCGAGCATTTAATTTAGCGGCTTTTCTTTTTTCGTACATGTTTAAGCAATCTCCATCAAACCACGGTTTGTTATTCTTACTTTCCTTTTTTCCTAGACATGAGGTACCGACCGCTTCTATATCATCTCTGATCTCTACCCATAACTTGTCAACATCCTCGCGGTCCTCGTCAGAAAGCTCTAAAGCTTCAAACCTATTCTTGACATCTAGCTCGAATTGGGTTCTTATTGATGGATTTTTTGATTTTTCTAAATTAAAATTCTCAAAATCGAAACGGTTTTCTTTTCTCTTTTTTATATTAAGTTTTTGTCGAAGTTTCGCTATTACTAATTCATGACCCGACCCACATTCTGCTCCGCGATAAGATCGTACATTAATTATACTGCTTTGCCAGCTATGTTGTATCAATACATGATCGATTTGATTTCGTGTTTGCGAATCCGGTGAAGTCCAAGTATATTTATGAATATCCTTAAGTTTAAACGTAGTACTTTTAATTATCAAGTTTTTCGAGATGGCAAAGTTTATCAGACGGATCCCATTATCATTACTATATTCGTGTCAACTTTCTTTACCAATCGTCAGAACAAAAACTTCTTCCATTCCCATCTTTGCTTTCGCGTCACCTACAATTATTTTCATGAAGTTTCGCGGTGGTTTATCATAAACCCATTCGAGTTTGTCATAAAATTCACATTTCACTTCATCTTCACTGTCTTCGGTCGGACAATGTATGTTTATTTTAAACCAACGTCCCTGAAATATAGCTACCGAAATTTTATCACTAAAGAATTGTACTAAGCGGATAGCAATCTATTCCTAATTAGAAACTCTGTACCTAAACAATAATTCCCACTTCCTCCTTACCAAATAGTGTACTTTCCTTCCCTCATGGAGCTGTCCCCTGGCCAGGGAACCTCTTGCAGAGCCAGGACATCCAAATTGTAACCATTACCCTCATTCCCCAAGATTTTAACCCCATATTGTTTAAACTCCTTACGTTCCAGGAACCAATATTTAAATCTCTATTTTTCAACTTGCACCATGAATCCCCTAAAGCAGTTTCCACATGGAGACCCAAATAGAGCACTAGTATACCTTTGGATAATGAGCGTTTTACCTTAGGGAGATCCATGACTATTTGTGGTGTATGGTGAACTAAAAATATGTGAGTAGGGCATTCAATCCTATGTCACACCCTCCAGCAAAACTGGAGGGCCCCTCTCATTGTTGGTCAGAGAGTCCATCAGACTTAGCCGGGAGGAACTTCCAGGGAATTTCCACTGATCATCCCCACATCCACCACCCATGGGACGCTCCCCATATGCGGTAATGAGCCTGCAGGAGGAGATGTATAATATATCAAATTAAAAAATCTGGTGTAACACACAACTTTCACTTACCGCTCAACTTTGAATAGAAATTATTTTCTGATCATGTTGGGCTATTAAAAATTTTTTTAATTGCATTTTTAACTGAGATAAAGCTAAAATATTACATCTAAAAATAATCATAAATACTATTAAAATAACAAAAGTCCTATTTATTATATTACCGGTTGATTATGGATTGTAGGACTATTAGTTATTAAACTGTTATTTTCCATTGCAAAGTTTACTAAAACGGAATTAAGAGATTTGCAATGTCTGTCATAGACAGGTCAAATGTTGGAACACTGATTGTAAGTGGATTCTGTTGGAATATCGCAAAGAGAAAATTTATCAAATTAATCACCAATTTAATTTTCTAAAAGATTACATGATTTTTCGGAATGAACGGACGATAGATAAACTACAGTAAATGTATTTAAGGTTATAAACATATGCTTTATACATCCATGAAATGATTTTATATTTTACTTCTTCTTTCACACAAGTACGATGAAATAGTTTTTTTAACAATACCATTGCCTTGATCAGGTGGATTTTAAATACTTTTTACAATTTTTTTTAAAGTTTACATTTAGTTAGTAAAATTCATTTAATTTTCCTTTATACATGTGATTTATGTTATATATTATTAGTTTTCAAAAATTATTATTTATAATTTTTTTGCCACTCTCCGTTATCTTCTACAACTTTCTATATTAGATATTGTTTTTCTAAAATTCTCCGTTTTCCAACGATATATTATATGTATACCTTCTGACTAGTATTTCTGGAGATTCAATTTCGACCTGGATAAGAATTTTTTTTCTCCTTTATTCAATTATCAAGTTATTTTAAAAGTTATTTTTAGCATATTTTCGTAATTTCTAATAATGAGAGATAGTTAATTGTAAAAATGTGTTTCAGCGTTGATATAAAGTGGCACTTCCGGTTAGGTGATTTTAAGAAAAAAGTTGCTAGGACATCTAAGGCATATACCTATCTTAAATACGTAATATCAGTTTCGTACGACTTTTCGTTTTCGAGCTAGAGTGTTCACAGACACATAGACCATTTTTTGGGACTTGGTTATTTGGACTCAGAGTACCTCAAAACGTGTATTTCAGTTGAAAACTCAGACTCGAAAATTCACTTACTATATTATACATATATAGGTAAGTGAAAGTAAAAAAGAAATATCAGAAATAAATTTCAAAATTCTGTCAATATAAGTAATAAAACTATAAAGATTTAAATGGTGCAGGATAGGTAGTTTGTTAAGAAAGATATTTAAATATTTTAATTTATCTTGTTTCACGGCTGACTTAATTATTTTAAATTAAAATATAGAATTTGTCATTTTGGTCTATATTTAATAAATTATTTGCTTATAACAATATAGTAAATATTTTATTACAGTAAATTATATAACAGAAATATTTAGTTTACAATTCTAGGTAATTAATTATTTACTGTAAGAAAATACTAGGTTTTCCTGCAAGAATAAATCTACTTTTTCTTAGGAGGGCACCAGGCTTCTATTTTCGGCCTGGTAGTAGAATATGGTACATATTGCTTAGCAGTTCCTGATAGGTTTTCCGTGTGATCAGCCATCCATGGATACTTTGGTCTTGAGGGATCCTGCAATAATAAATATGTTCATTTCATATAGGAGTGGATGAAACAATGCCTATATTATTTATAAATTTAAATTACAGCAGAGAGAAAGATAAATAGGTCTGTAAGATTCAGTTCACTGACATTTTATTCTTTTGTTAGAAACAATTTTTTACCTTTACATCAATAAACTAGAAAAATGAAAATTTTATCTTGTTTCCATACTGAAATACTTTATTTTTAAAAATGTGTCAAGTTCTCAGAAAAATAGTAGTTTCTTGAAAAAAATAAAATAAAATGGTGGATGCAGTAGAACTTTAATTTTCAGATCATGTCATATAAAGAGTGTGTTACTTAAGTTACAAAAAATTAGACAATCTGAAAATTTAATGTTCTACCTTCACACATCCACACAACTTCTCTCTAATCTATTACCATTTTATCACAGCACTAGAATATTTTGATAAATTCTAGAACTTCTCTTTAAACTCAAGGCTCCAATACTACTGGGTTCTACAACTATCCTATGCAGATGAGTTTCCAAATTAAGATTGACAAATGATCTTAAATGTTGCAACTCTAATAGAAGGAGAAGTACCCGAAGCCTTCATGAATACATGAAATGGAAAAGCCTCTACACAAGAATAAAGTCCTAAAAAGTTGGCAAGAGACCATTTAGGAGGCAAAAAACTAGATGGATAAGTAGAATCAAAAAAAAAAAAAAAGAGATGGTGTTGAGCTGCACGTTAACAAACTGGAAAGTTACAGCTAAGATAGGCACAAGTATAGAAGGTTGGTTCAAGCAGTCAAAAAAAAGATTAGTAAAGCAAAGAGAAATAAAAAAAAAAAATAATATATATATATATATATATATATATATATATATATATATATATATATATATACCATTCTTACCAGGTGAGGAGGTAGATCTGTCTTATAATGAAGCCAACCAAACCATTCAGCAGGTACTTGACTACCGTCATAATCTAGGTAATAGTAGTCAGCATACTCGACCCACCTATTCCTGCCTGAAAATAATTTAATTTTACTTTTTTCTTTCCTTCAGTCTTAGAAATTATGCACTACTATTGAATGAATATACAAGTAATAAATTAAAATTCAACAGAAAATACCAAATAAAAATGAAACATTAACGATAATAGAAAAAAGTGTACTTTTTCAACACTTATATTTATGAAACTGCACCAATCAAACTTAAACATCTATATTAATTTAGATATTAGAAAAAAATAAGTAATGATGAGGTAATGAGAAAAAGCTCATCTACATCTGGCTCGTACTACTCATTGATTTCACCATTTAAAGATAATTTAACAGGAAATTTTATATTTCCAGAACTAAGCTCACAGATCAAAGTTATTTACATACTTTTTTTTTTTGCTCTCCCCTCTCTCGCCTTTTAGGCTATATGGGGTATTTCTGGCCCCGGGATGAGGGTGGGAAATAAATTCCAGAATATAAAGCCCCCTCTCCCCCAGCACAGGGACACAAACTCACAATTTTTTATCATAGTACTTTGGTTATCAAGTTACCAGGCAAGAAAAAAAAGATGAAGATGGCGGCTGCTAAGACCCAGTCCATTCTTTTAAGGGGTAAGACTGATAAGGTCCACCCTATTATTCTCAGAATAGAAGGAGAAAGGATACGTCCAAATGAGACTGTTACTTACTTTGGCATAAGAATTGGGAGAAATGACAACGTTATACCTCACTTGGACTACATGAAAAGTAGAAAAGTAGGATGGCCCTGGCTCTCAATGGACTAAGTCGAATCGGGAGCCCCTTTTGGGGTCTCAGGTACCAAGCCACGTTGACTATTTAAGAAGGAGTTATTATGGGCATCCTGAGATATGCGTCTCCTGCATGGAGTCATCATCTCTCACTCCAACAGAAGAAAAGGTTGGCAACAATCCAGTGGATGGCTCTGCTGTGGGTCACTAGAGCATACTGGACAGTGTCTTATGAGGCGGTACAAGTCTTAGCCAGAACTACTCCTACTGATCTTCTCCTATGATAAGAATACTTTCGGCATAAGATGAAGAGGGAAGGCCTGGTGGATCTACTGGCGAATCTCCGTGTGAGGACCAGTGAAGACCCTAATAGATGGAAGAGCATTCTTCGGGAGAACTGCTGGGGGATTCCGAACTTCTGGAAATGGGGGTTTCCGAGTTCGTTGAATATGGTAAGAACATTGATCCCCTATGCCCAAGTTGCAGAGTGGCGGATACTACCGAGCATATCGTCCTTGTCTGTACCCCCTTTGAGGCACTAAGGGCTAAGTTGTTGAGGGAGACGGGGCTTTACGTTCTGACGGAGAGAGATCTTCCTCAACTAATGAAAAAGGAAAAATATCTGTACTACAAGGCCTTCGTATACGGGTGGAAGGAACTAGTTGGTTCAACCCACTTTTTATTGGGAAAAAGAGATGGACCTGCATCCGGAAGACCACCAGAGAGGGTGGAAGAGGACACTGGCTAAAAAGAAGAAAGAGCAGGCTGTGTGCACAGCTGAAAAATAAAAACAAAGAAAAGAAATGTAATTGGTCTGAATGCAGCAGTGAGTTGTAACGCATGCATTGCTCCTCACTGCTGCATAACAACCGTATTGCCTTACCGGCAGGGAAGGGTTAAAATAAATAAGTTGCCAGGCAATATGTGTTTTGCACATATGTTAGCCTGCTCGGCCATCTCCCTTCCTAACAATCTCTTGAATAGTTACAAATAACTTTTCCAACATTAAAATACTTGTATGCTCTTAACCATCATGAAACACTGAGATATTCTTCGTCAGCTGTAATCCTCTCATGTTTATACGTTCCTCAGAAATAAATATCAGAATGAACACAATTTGTTTAGTTTTTATAAGACTGATAACATTCAGTCTTTATTTTCTGGATTATAAAGTAAGATAACTAAAAATAACAATAATTACACAGCTAATTCTTGGTTTTTGTGGATCTATGGAGGAGCTTTTAGTATAATACCCTTTCTCAAAATAGAAAAATAATTTTTTTTCATTGATCCATATTTTTTTGTTAGTGATCTAAGCTAAATACTTACAACCACAGTATTTAATCTCTTTACATGTAAGCAGGTGTATAATAACATTTTATTTTGGCGAATGCTTGTTGCAGGTCAAAAACAATGACCTTGGAGTTTTCAATGTATTTACCATCTTTCATCAACTTATAAAAATTGATGGTCCTCCCTTTATGAATTCAAAACACTTCTTAATCTTTTATAGGTATGTGCCTTATAAAATAAGTATACTCTTAAGCAGTATCAAATGTGCACGATTAAAAAGTCTGGTTAAATAAAACTTTAATCAAGTGCACGATTTTTTGGTACATACCATAAAAATACATATTGTTTTCATAATATTTGTTGCCATATTTATCTTCCCCAACTAAAGTTCCCAGTTTGAGCTCATCTTGTCTGAAACACAAAATGTGAATTATAAACAATATCTCGATTCTTTGAATTAAATATAATAGTACTGATTAAATGAACTATATTATCATAAGTGCAAAAACCATATCAAAATAATTTAATCTTATTTCACCAAAATATACCTGTAAAGTTTATAAAGGGAACCTTTGATTCCACCATTCTGCTTAATAATTTTAGCAAAAGTTTGTAACTTGTCAAGGCCTAAATATTTGGCCATTTCTGACAGTTGAAAAACTTAATGATATTGAAAATACCTAGATAAAAATTTTTCACTTTTGAACATAGTTCATTCGTGAAGGATTAGTTCCAAAAAAATCATCTTTCTTGTTTGAAAATAAACATTTAAAAAAGTGATTTGTATTTTTATATATAAATATAATGTTGATTTTTTTTATTTAGAGCCTAAAAAATAAATTAATTTTACTATATTTAGTTTAAATAGAAAACCCAAACAAAACCTCTTTGTGAGCAAAATTGGTTTTTGCAGAAGGTTTCAGTGTGGTTGATAAGTAATCACGTGGGTTTTATGTGTCAGAGAATTTCGCATCTTTTTCCATTTTTTTAGTTAATCTATATACTTTTTTTTTAATTAGCTTTAAAGTTAAGCAACTGTGGATTAATCTTTGAGAAACATATTATGGTTTTAGAAGTTTCTTGTCATCATGTCAAGAATTATCATAAAGAATTTGCCAACAAATGTAAGTTGTATTTACTTAAACTTATTTTCAATTCTAAGGTAGTATGTTGTGATTTATATCATGTTCCTCTGCAATTTCCTTAAGAAAGTTGTTTAAGTCTGGGAGTAGTAAGGATTCAGTCCTTTTCTTGTCATTATCCAGGCACCATATAGTTTTATGATCTGTACTGTTAGATTAACTTATAATTATTTTTTTCTAATCATTCTCAAGATGATTTATTTTAGAAATTCTTATAATCTTTGGACTCCTTTTCCTGAACATTTTTTTTTTTTTTTTTTTTGTGGGACTCACTGCACTTATGTATTTCAATTACTAATTATGTTATTGATTAGTAAAGTTTCAACAAATACAAAATATATTGACTTTGCAGGATTTCAGTTAATTAAATTATTTAAATAAAATAAAAAAACTTGAGGAATGTGAAGTTAATGTCGAAAAAATGGACCTAGAGGTGAGCAGACTGCAAGAGGCTTGACCCTTTGTACTTTAATCAGAAATCGAGATATGGTTTCCTATGATGTCAGAATTTTTTTTTTTTTTTTATTCAGTCCGGCTTCTTCTCTTTGAGGTTTCGTAATAAGATACTTTAGGGGGGGGAGAGGAGTGGGTTATCAGCCCACTGCCCCCGAGTCAGGTAGAGGGGCTGCCTCCTCCGAGCATCCTGACTAGCTCCCCCATCCGGGGCGGCTACCTAGGGAAGATGACCCTAGGGTGTGTACTGTAGGTGACCTTTGTCTGTAGTGTTTAGGTGATGTAGTGTGCTGTATAAAGTGTACTTGGTGTGTGAGTGTTCGTGTAAGTGTTTCCCCAACCTGGAGGGCCAGTGGCTGGTTGCGGTACAATGACCGGGCGATGGGACCGCCATCTTCCTACGCCTATAATAGGTAGGTCTGAACGGGCTCTCAGAGAAGCATTTGTAGGCCTTGAAGCAGCAGCAAGACCACTTGGTCTAGAAGTCAACGAGAGGAAAACTAAGTATATGAGAGTTGGTGGTGAGGTGGATCTGAACTCTCCATTTGAGGTAGGTTCTTTTAAGTTTGAGAGAGTGAAAAGTTTTATATACCTTGGATCTGAAATTAATAGCAAAAATGACATGGCTCAAGAAATACAAAGAAGGATCACGGCTGCCAATAGATGTGTCTTTGGACTTGGCCGATACTTAAGAAGTAGGTACCTCTCAAAGAAGACCAAGCTGATCATATACAAGACCCTTGTTCGGCCTGTTTTGACATATGGCTCAGAGGCTTGGGCGATGACTAAAAACGATAAGATGAAGCTGAGTGTGTTTGAGCGAGGAGTCCTCAGAAGGATTTATGGTCCAGTAAAGGAGGGTGATGTCTAGAGGAAAAGAAAAAATAGGGAGCTCAGTTCTCTCTATACAGATATCGACGTAGTCACGTATATTAAACTGGCCAGACTAAGGTGGGCAGGGCATGTGGCCAGAATGAGCACCGTTGAAATACCAAAGAAAATAATGATGGAGGAGCTGCACCTCGTAAGACGGGTAGGAAGGCCGAGGACGAGATGGTTGGACAACGTGGCCTATGATGCGAGAGCCCTGCTTGGTGTACGGAACTGGAGAGCTGCAGCAGAAGACAGAGCCAACTGGCGGAGGCTCTTGGAGGAGGCCCAGTCTCGGTAATGGGATGTCGTGCCACATATGATGATGATGATGTCAGAATTTACCTAAAGGTTTAGTCCATGGACAGTCTGTTCCAGAGAAAGAAATATAGATCCTTGTATCTCTGCTGATTGTGAGCAGCCATAATCCATGGATTTAGACTGCTTTATGCCTCTCCTTTTACCCGAGAGAGTCGGTGGATGTATTGACTCCAAAGGGATCAGCTATGGAGGTATGCTAGAGACCATGGTCTATCAATGTGAGGATTGGTGACTCTCTCCGTGCTACCTATGCTCCCACAAGCAACATATATTTGTCAGAAGACCATAATGAGTGGAAAAAGATCTACATGATCTATAGCGCCTAACACAAAAAAAATTATATATATGTGTATACACACATATGTAAATATACTTATTTCACGAATGTAGTATTAATTATTAATTTGAAAAAAAAATTTAAAATATGAAAATTATCTTAACATTTATTTTGGAAATTTATTTTCTATAACTAATTAATAATATTTTCTTTTCTTATAATGGTGTTCCAACGAGGGTTGCCTTTTCACGCTAGTGCTGAGCTCCACAGGTCGGAGTCCATCTAATATCCGTCGCAAAGACCCTGGCCAGCCATCTTCTCTTCCACTTTACGTATTCACCTTTTTCTAAGTCATCCTCGCCTCCGTCTTTCTTGCGATCGCCACTCAAGAATTCGGTTAGGCCATCACACAGTAGACATTTGTCTTACATGGCTGTACCACACAGCCTTCGCCGTTTATTTCTCTGGTTGACAGACACTTGAGCTTCCATTCTGTCCATAATGACCTCATTCCTAATTCTATCCATCCTTGTCACTCATAGGCATCTCCTTCAAAAGTCTATGTCCACTGCTTTTTTCATTAAATACAGCTGGGATGACATGGTACAGGTCTCAGCTACATACGTTAAGGTAGGTTCTTCATATGGTATATTCTTCATTTGTTCTCTTTTAGAATTCTGTCGTTCAACAAGACAAGATGAAGCATGCATGTGGCTTTCTATGCTTCCTGCACTTTTCTCCATACGTCTATTTCTGATAATGAATAAATACAAGATTTTTTTAAATTATGCTGTCTCTTTTTTTATATTTAATGTTATTACTATATGAAGTTTATTTTTTTATGTCATCATCGAAATCCATAAATTAATTTTCAGGTATCTACAGATAAATTAAAAGAAAAATTCAGTGAATTTGGTAGAATTACGGATGTTCAGCTAAAATATACTTCTGATGGAAAGTTTAGAAATTTCGCTTTTATTGGTTTTGAAACTGAAGAAGAAGCTAGCAATGCTATTGCAGCATTAGACAAAAGTTTTATTGGAACTCATCGAATTCAAGTTGAGACATGTGCTGGATTAGGTTAGTATCTGTAATAGATTAATACTTATTTCATTATATTTTTGAAATATATTAGCTTTAAGTTTCATTTATAATTTTCCTTGAATTTATAGTGCCTGTGAATTATTAATTCTCGTTTTTTTATTAGATTATCATTAATATTTGTACCCTTTCATATTATATTTTTACTTGTAAAACTGGAATTATTTTATTTATTTATTATTTTTAGTTATATATTGTTATTTATTTAAAGAATATTCCTATTCTAAGAATATTTCTTAATCTGAATTTATATATTAAATATATATATATATATATATATATATATATATTTAATAGATTTAAATCGTGGGTCTCCAAACTACAGCCCATGGACCAAATCGGACCCACAAACAATTCCAATCCGGCCTGCAAAAGTTTCTTTGATTACATGGCAATATTGAAAAAAATAAAATATGAAATTTAGTAAATCACTTGAACAGGAGGTTTCTACAACATTAATCATATGACTTATTTCTCTTAGAAAACTCATTCCACAACTGGATTGTCATTTATAAAGCAAATTTTTTTTTTCGTCACAATCCATTACCCGCGGAACTTAATGGACGTATCAATGGGGCTCGCAGATCAAAAAGTTTGGTCTGATCTATATTGAGAATTTATAGAAAATAATGTAATTTTTAATTTACTTAATTTTTAGGTGGCAGTAATAAACCTAAAGCTTGGAGTAAATATGCACCCGACAGCTCAGCATATAAAAAAATACATGGAAAACAGTTCGAAAATATTAATAATATCTTAGATGAAATTTCAACTAAGAAAAAGAAAAAAAATATTAAACCAGAAATTATTGAATCTTTAAAAAAGGTATTCTAATGATTAATTGACATAAAATGGATCCTTCCATTAAACTGATTTAAATGTTTGATGTTACATACGTATGATATATTTAATATTTTTCAGCATTTAGAAGATCCACAGTTTTTGGAATATCTTGATGTTTGTGGGAAGAAAAATTTAATTACAAGAATTATTAAAGATCATGTCGAACCAGAAACTGAACAAGAAAATTCTGTGCAAAATCATAATCTAGAAATAAAGAAAGAAGATGAAAAAGAACAAGATAAAACTAAGTCAGCTGCTTTTTCTTCTTTATCTGATTTAGAGGTCAGTTATAATTTCTTTTTATATGTGTGTTTGTGTGGTGCCCATGCAATATAAAGGTTTGGTTAAATAGATTGTTTTTTAAATGATCAAGTGCTCAATTAATCAAACTTAAATTTGAATACCCATTTATGATCCTACAAAAAAAATTCCTTTAACCCTTCTAGGATGAGCAAATTTTATTCTAAAAAATAATATTTGATAAATTTTTTTTTATTATTGGACATACTGAAATACAGAAAAATATATTTTAAATAACTCATTATTGATAAATGTTTATATAATCTTTTAGATCTTTCCCGGAATGATATGTTCAGTGGTAAAAAGAAGTTGTGAATTTTAAAATTTGTAATAAAATCAATATTTTCTTTTAACTTATTTAATTACTACAAAGAATTAAAAAAAAAATTATTATTATGTTTCTTTGTTTTTTTCTCCCCTCTCTCGCCTTTTAGGCCATATTGGGTTTAGCCGGGCCAGGATGTAGGAGCGGGAATTAATGCTGGAGTTAAAAGCCCCCTCCCCCCCTCCCCCCCCGGGCACCGGGACAGGAACTTGTAGTTTTTTTTTATTTTATTTTTTTTTAGGTCCTCCCCTAATCCGCTGTTAAGGCTGTACGGGGTTTTCCCGAGCCAAGATGTGTGAGCGGGGATTGGAAACGGGGATTGCCCCCTGGCACCGGCACGCAAACTCGTGACTATTTTTATATCATTGAGTCATATACCAGGTTACCAGGCAATGGCGATGCAGTACACACTCGTAGCCCATTCGGCCACCCCGCCCACAATGAACTTGTTATTTTTATCTAATTATCTTTGATCTGGATTGTCAGGCAATGCGTGGTGCTTGCACATGTATTAGCTCGCTCGTGCACTCCGCCCCTATTACTATTATTACTATGAATCTACAGAAACCTTTATTACACTCGGTGCATATAATCTTGCAATTTTATTCAGGTTTACATGAATAGAACACAGATAATGGCATGAACAGATTTATAGAGAAACTATCAATTGTTTGCATCTAATAACAGTTTTTAATTAGAAGATACTGAGGCAATATTATTGTCAGACACTTTGTAGAATTATCAGAAATATAGGAGCAAGCAACTTTGAAAACAAGTGGGTTTGGTATATAGTTATCTTGACTTAAATGGTGTTTTGCAGATGCCCTGGTATTAAAAATATTGTTGACGTCAGTATTGTTTGACTTCTTAATAGTTATTTTAGTTTACACAATAGGTACGAAAAACCAAAAGCAAACAAAAGAACAATAGTATTAGAATAGTTTTACTATTGCTTGAAAGGGTAGAGAGTGGAGTGAATTTGAGAAACTTTAAAAGTTAGTTAAATTTTAATACGTACCCTTTATTTTTCCATTTTTCCAAAAATGAGAAATGTTCAAAGAAAAAAAACAGATTATCAAAGAAAAAAGTTTTTAAGTGATTAATTTTATCATTAATCTGAGAAAGAATCAGTTGGAAATGATACAATCCACAAATTTTGTTGTGAAAAATTATCATATGATTGCACACTTAGTGTCACCTACATATAAATCTTAAAGACTATTTTATTCTAATGAAACTAAATTAAATGAAACTATTAAAATATATATTAGATTACCCAGTACTTGTTCTGATACAGATACCCATGCTTCCTCTGTAGCGTTATTGATTAGCATGAATGTTGCAAAATAGCTCTACAATTGAAAACCCTGTACTACTGCAATCCATGAAGGGTCTCGGGTTCAGTTCTTTGTAAAGGAGGGTTTCCTGATCCCTGGGTCAATCCATGGCTGATGTAACAAAATAAAAATTACCTGACATCAGTCGAATACAACAATTAAACAATAAAATAGAAATGGTAATATAATTATAATTTTTTAATATTGTCAAAAATCAAAATGTCAAGAATCTTTTCATAACAACCTATGCAATATTTAATTATTTATTCAAGATATATGGTTAATACATTTACGTTGAATAATTCTTCATTACTATTAATCCGTTCTATTCATTTTGAAACTATTTTCATCATTACAAACACTGGGATTTATTCATGTTAGAATATTCCTTGATTATGCTATCTTTGGTGATGATTTTATTTTTTTCATGCAGTATTGAAACTTAAAACCAAAAGGATCTCTTCTTTAAATGAAGTTCTTTTCAGCAATACTGAATATAAACCTGTAACAAAAATAAATATCAATCAATTATTTAATATTATATATCAAAATTAATAATTTACCATTAAAAACAAATTAGACAGAGTTTCTCACAAAAGTTTCATTTTTGAAAATATTTTAATCATTGAACACAGCTTACAAACACTGGATTTTTTGTACATTACAATATTCTTTGATTTTGTTATCTTTTGGTAATGATTTTATTTTGTTCCTACAGTATTTGAAACTTAAAACCAGGAATCTTTTTTTTAAATGAAGTTCTCTTCAGCTGTACTGATTATAAACCTGAAATAAAAATATATATCAATAAATTATTCAATATTAAATATCAAAATTACTAATTTACCATTAAAAACAAAGAAGAAAGAGTTTCTCTTTTTAAAATATTTTCGTCATTTAACAAAACTTACAAACACTGGGATTTATGTATGTTACTATATTCATTGATATTGTTATCTTTTGGTAATGATTTTATTTTGTTCTTACAGTATTTGAAACTAAAAACCAAAGGAATCTCCTCTGTAAATGAAGTTCCCATCAGCTGTAGTGAAGATAAATCTGAACCAAAAATAAAGTTATTCAACATCAAAATTACTAATTTACCATTTAAAACAAAGAAAAAGGATATTAAAGAACTTTTAAACCCTTTGGTACCAGCATCTATTAGGTTCATTGGAAACGTCAAAGGAGTTGCTTATGTAGGATTTCAAACTGAAAAAGAATTGAGACAAGCTATGGTTAAAAATAAAACTTTCTTGAGTATGTATTTGCTCTCTGGTAATGACGATCTGTATATGTTTTGATTTTATATTTACTATGGTGAAATTTCCCTTGTTTAGGTGGCAAACAATTATTGTTCCGTAAAGTTGAAGAAAAAATCCAATCTAAAAAACCAGACAAGTAAGCTAAATGTTACTTTATGATTTTAAGTTAGTTTATTTAATAAATTTAAATCAACTCTCTCATTTATATATTTTTTCAATTAAATTTAAATTATAACTCGATAATTTATATAGCAATTTGTTCAAAACTAGGTGGAAAAAACAAGAAGAATCTCTGAAAAATGAGGAGTCTATCGCTGAGTCAGGAAGAGTTTTTGTCAGAAATTTACCATACTCAGTGAAGGAAGAAGAATTAGAATCCTTGTTTTCAACTTTTGGACCTATTACAGAAGTAATAGTTCCAGTTGACAAAATTTCCCGGCAAGTAAGTTAGTTGATCATTTAGTTTTACATTTGTATTTATATTTATTTTGTTTAATTACATTGATTAGGATTTTGTAGGTTAGAGGTTATGGTATTGTAACCTTTCTGATGCCTGAACATGCTGTAGCAGCTTATTGCAAATTAGATGGAACTGTTTTTCATGGTAGGATGTTGCATTTACTTCCTGGAAAAGCAAAAGAAGATGAAAAAGGTATCAGCAACTGTTATTAAATAATTTAGAAAAAAAATTACATATAATTAATATCAGACAATATTTTTTACAATAATAAAGTACAGTATAAGTTTCCTACTTTTTTGGATTTATTCTTATAAGCTTATTAACAAACGGAAGATAGTAGCAGTTAGAGCATAGTAATTTTTCTAGTTACAATAATTTTGAATTTTATCCTTAAAAGGTGGAGAATGAGGAATTATAGTTTTATTTGAAATATTTACAAAAACTTTTTATCTGATTATATGACAAATCTTATTATTTTTGTGGGTACGGGGTAGCTGAGCAGCTAACGCTTGTCCACAGCACCGTGTTGCCGGGCAACCTTGATAGATGATAATTACATAAAATAATTATGAGTTTGCATCCCCGTGCCCGAGGGTGCTTATAACTCTGGTATAAATCCTCCACCCTCATCCCTTGGTCTAGGAAAACCCCGTTAGCCGCAAAGGCGAGGACAAAAAAAAATTCTTATTTTATTTCTTAAATTAAAAAAATCATAAGTTTTTTATTTTGTTAATTTATATGTACCAAAATTCAACTTAAAAATAAGTGCACTAGCAGCCAAAAGTTGCTTCTGAAAAGATAAAAATAAACTTTACTGTAAAATCAGACGTATTTTTAAAGATTATTGTGCTTTAGCATGTTTTTTTTGTTTTTTTTTATGTCCCTCCATTTTAGGTTTGTTATGAAGAGTACATTTGTAATATTCTAACTACAACAAAGTTTAATATTAATTTCTTTCTTTTATTTTTTAGACTTAGATGTTGATGCGCCTTACAAATCAAAAAAGGAAAAGAAACTTAAAGCATCTGCAGGTTCTTCTCATAACTGGAACACTTTGTTTTTAGATCTTAATGCAGTGGCTGAAGTTATTGCAGGAAAATATGAATGTACTAAGGAAGAAGTAGGGATTTTATTTATGTTTCACCTATTTTAACTATTATCAAAGTCTCTTTTTTTAAATTAGCTATTAAACATTGTAAGTTAAGAAAGGCTTGTGTTATATTATGTTTTTTGAGATCAAGTTTGGATATTTGATATATATAATTAGTTACTAATAAGTAAAAATAAACTTTTTTGTTTATATATTTTGAATTATTTTATTATAATTTATATTTTTTTTCAAATATTCAAAATAGTTATGTTAAAAATTCATTATTTTTTTATGTTAAATTTAACTAGAGATCTTTAAACAAATACTTCTATGAAATGTTTTAAGATCAATTGATTTATTTGTAAATTCTAGGTTTTGACTAGAAAAAATGCAGCTGTAAAATTAGCTTTAGGAGAAACTCAACTGGTTAATGAAACGAGGCAGTTTCTGGAGGATAATGGAGTATTGCTTGATGCATTCAATCAGGTAGTAGAATCCTTGGTTAGTGAATGTTTTATTTATGAATGATTTATTAATTATTTTTTATGATGTTTAGGAAGTTAAAACTAGGTCCAAAACAGTTATTCTTGTAAAGAATTTGCCTGCAAAGACTACTGCTGCTGAAATCAGAAAGATGTTTGCTAAATATGGAGAACTTGGAAGAATAATTTTACCTCCAACTGGGGTTACTGGTAAAGGCTTTATGTTATTCAACCCTAGATATATATAATCTAGCATTTTTGTTTTACAAGTCATGACATGACTTTATGTATTTGTCTCATATAATAAATATTATCATAAGAATTTACTGTGCACAAACATTTAACAAGAAATAAATGCACCAGTAATAAGTAGAGAATATTCAAAGATTAGATAGCAGATTCAAAATTGATATAAAACTTTTATTCAGCTGGTTTCGATGCGATCGCTTCTTATCTGAACTATGTTAGAGTTGATTTAGTTTTAGTTGCTTCATCATAACCATGTTAAATATAGTATTGTGTGTTCTGTCTATTTATATTATATAATCTTTTCTTACTTTAGATATGATATGTTAATGTTTGAGTCTATGTTGGCCTTTCTGTTTGTCTGTTTGCTTGGCAAAGATCAATTTGATTAACAATGTCTCCATCTGCATTCCTAATTGAATTTAATGAATAACTAAATTGTTTACAAAACAAAATCCTTTAACTGGTTGTGATAATTATAAATTTATGAAACTTTATTCAATTACTTTCATTAATTATTTCAAAATTTGTAGGTATTGTCGAATTCTTAGAACCTTCAGAGGCTCGAAATGCATTTAAACAACTTGCCTATACGAAGTTCAAACATCTTCCCCTATACTTAGAGTGGGCTCCTAATAATACATTTCATAAATCTAATGAAGAATCTGAAGAAAGTAAGCATATAATACATTCTTCTCGTCAATTACTACTTTTGTTTTTTCTATTAAAATATGTGATCTTGTTTATAAAGAGATTAATGATTCGACCATCAAAGTTGAGAGTAGTGATGATAAAAATGTGAAAGAAGAATCAAAAGATGATATAAAAGTTCTTAAGAAGGAGGCTGATGATGAAGAGGACATTGTACCTGAACCTAACACCACTTTATTTGTTAAAAATCTCAATTTTGAAACTACTGATGAAAGTTTAAAGCAGGTATTTTATTTTCACACTTGTATGCAAATATGATATTACAATGTGAAGAAGAGTTATATTATAGTACTTCTAATTTAAATGATATTTGATGTAGGAAAAAATCAGTTTTATTTTTTTTATTCTTTAGATGCATTCTTTTAGGAAGTTGCTATGTGAAAAAAGATTACATATTATTTATTTATTTTTTTACTCCAATTTCATGGAAGAATACAGCTTTTAATTCTGATTTCTTTTATAGCAATAACTCTCTTAAAATGGGGAAAAAGTTTTTCCTTCATTTTTAGTATCACAGTCTTTATGACATTCTCAATTTAATTTTCATTTTTAATAGTGATATATATTTTTATTATAGCATTTCAGTAGTTGTGGGAAGATTGCTAGTGCCCAAGTTTCAAAGAAAAAAGATGCACGAAATCCTGGAAAATTGTTATCTATGGGTTATGGTTTTGTTCAATATTATCAACAATCCTCAGTTGTTGAAGCGCTAAAAAACCTCCAAGGCTCTAAACTAGATGGCCATGCTTTGGAACTAAAACGTTCTAACAGGACATTAAGGTGTTTGCATTATTAATTTGGTATTATTTAGGTAAATGATATATTTTATTTATTATTATTATTACTATGTTAATAATTGTAATTATAGTTCTGAAGCTGTATTTACCCGAAAAAAGACCAATCTTCAGTCACAGACTGGAAGTAAGATCATTGTGCGAAATATCCCATTTCAAGCAACAATTAAAGAAATTGGAGATCTTTTCAGGTTTGTGTAGTATATATAAATTATTACTAAAATTCAGGTTTGTCAAATTTGATTGTTTTAATCCCTCCTATTACTAATAATTATTATTTTTAGAACTTATGGAGAACTCAAATTTGTCCGCTTACCTAAGAAATTGGTTGGTACTGGACCTCATAGAGGATTTGGTTTTGTTGAATATTTAAGCAAACATGATGCTAAAGTAAGTTATACATTTAATCTATAAATATTTCTTAGATATAGCATGTCTTATTTAGAATTTTTGTTTTATATTTCTTAAATTTATTTATAATATTTCATAGTTTTAATAATTTCTTATTATAAAAGTATTTTATTCTCAAATTATTTGCTAATTACGATGCAATACTAATTGAATCATGTAAATTGAATATTATTATAGATATTTTGTGTTCATTTTTATCAAATAAAATCTCTATGTATTATTCCGTTCCAGCTCTTTATTGTATGTAATATTTTTTTAAATATTTTAGCGAGCTATGAAGGCATTATGCCAAAGTACTCATTTGTATGGTCGTCGTCTCGTTCTGGAATGGGCAAATGAAGATGAAGGTATTAATGAATTGCGAAAGAGGACAGCTCAGCATTTCCATTCTGGTAAAACTTATTTTTATAAAATGTATTAGCAATGATCTAAATACTTGATAGTGTTCTCTCTAGCCAATTCCTTCTTTAAAAAACTCAAAATTTCTGAGCCTTATTTTAGTAGATAGGAACTTTGAAAGCAATTAAAGTTGTTGAATAAATTTTAACTGAATTGAATACACATTAAATTCCATTTGATAACTTCTTTGAAACCTCCCTTGTCAACCTGGTCTCTCTTTACAACAAAATTATTATCACCGGTGATTTCAACGTGAATATGCTTTCACCATCTCCTGAAAAATACTTCCTAACCGACCTACTGTTTTCCCTTAACCTTTATCTTGTTCCTTATTCTCCTACCCATCACACGCATTTTTCCGACATCTGGTTAGACCTCTACATCGCTGACTCGCACATCAAAATCCTCTCCTCTTCTCAACATCCCATTCCATTTCTTTCATCACACGACCTGATCCAAATTACATACGACCTACTCTTGAAATCCTTTACACCCAAAATAGTTTCATACCATAATTTAAACCTTCTGTCCTATGAATCCCTACAACCTGACCTTGACTCTTTCCAGTGGGCCATCATATCTTCCTACAACTCCATTGATCCTATGGTATCTACCCTAACCTCAAACCTACAATTCTTATTAGACACCCATGCTCCTCTGAAAACTAAAACCTTACGTCGTCCCACTGCACCTTGGCTGACTCCTGAAATAAAAGAAATAATGAAAAGAAGAGATGCAGCAAGGCGCAAATACCGCCGAACCCGTTTGCAGCTGATTATGCGTCTTTTAAGAAACTTCGCAATGGAACCCAATCCACAATCCGACTGGCTAAATCCAACTACTAACATAATGCCCTTTCCAATGCTCCTGATTCCAAATCCAAATGGAAAATACTCCGTAACCTATCCCTACCAGAATCCAATAAACTCAGTTCCATCCCGGTGACTCCAGATGATCTCAATGACCATTTCCTATCCTTCACTCACAATTCTTCTCCTACTTTCGATATTAAACACCACAATTTCAATCCTGAAGACTTCTTTTTCTCCCATGTGACCTACATGAATTACTTTCCACTATCCTAAAATCCCACACTAATGATTATGGTCCTGATAATATCCCAGTAAAACTAATGAAATCCAGCCTTCCTGCCCTGATTCCTGTTCTTTACCATATCTACAACTTTTCATTGCAAAACTCTATATTCCCATCCTCCTGGAAAACTGCCCTAGTCCGACCTTTGAATAAAATTCCAAACCCTACCTCACTGCAAGATTTCCGTCCTATTTCTCTCCTATTCAACCTTTCAAAGCTGCTAGAACGTCTTGTCCAAAATCAACTCTCCAACTTCCTAGGAGAACGTTCCCTTATCAATCCATTTCAATCTGGCTTTCGACCTGGCTATTCAATGCAATCCGCTCTCCTTAAAATAACCCATGACCTCCAAAACTCCATTGAACACCAAAACCTTACCATCCTCATCCTTCTAGATTTTTCCAAAGCATTCGACACAGTTGACCATGACATCCTCCTTACGAAATTGCACAATCTTCCTCTATCCAACAGTGTCCTGCGTTGGTTCAAATCGGTCCCAGTATGTAGTAGTCCCAGGTCAACTCCCATCTAAGACCCTCCCCCTCTCCTGTGGTGTCCCTCAAGGTTCCTCTCTATCTCCTTCTCTGTTTGCCATTTACATTAATGACCTTCCACTCCTGATCCGTCACTCCCAATACCATATCTACGCTGATGATTTGCAAATATACCTGTCCTTCCCGCCCTCCGACCTATTATCAGCCACAGAAAAACTTCAAGAAGACTTGGATAAGATTTGCCACTGGGCGAGTGCCAACAAGTTGAAGTTGAATGCGGAAAAGACAAAGGCAATCTTAATTGGCTCCAATCACCTCCTTAAAACTGTTTCACATATTCCAACTCTTTTCCTACATGATAATCCCATCAAATTTTATCCTACTATCAAAAACCTTGGAATAACCTTCGATCAAACGCTTTCCTGGAAAAACCAAGTATCCAACAACTCCTGCCGGACCATTTCCACCTTAAAATGCCTAAACCACTTCCGTCACTTATTTCCCTTGAAACCAGAAGACTCCTGGTCACTTCCTTAATTTTTCCCCACTTTGACTATTGCTGTACGGTATATGGGGGCGTCTCTGGGGATCTCGAGGCGAAACTAAAACGCTTGATAAATTGCTTTGTACGATTCATCTTCGGGACCCCAAGGGACGCCTCTGTTTCCCATTTTTATGCGGAGTTAAAGTGGCTTTATCCCTTCTTACCGTCGTAAATATTTCCTGGCATCCTTCCTCTTTCAAGTCATCCAATCCCACCGACCTTCATACATCTCCGAGCTCCTCCAATCAAATCCTCTGTTCGCTCCCGCAATACTCGTTCCAGGTCTTCTGATTTATACATAAGGGCCCACCGAACCGCTGCTTTCGTCAGATCATTCATTATCCTATCCTCATCCTTATGGAACTCCATCCCTTCCCACATCCGTCAATCTATACCCTTTCTACCTTTAAATCCCGCCTGTTCAATCATTTCTTATCCATCCAGTCCCCATGAAATCATAAAATTGTAAATAGATACCACTGAAAATATGTATATAAATTATTAGATTGTTCTTCATTATTTTTACTTTATTTTAAAATTTTTTATTATTAACTTATTTAAGTTAGAAAGTAACATATAATTTTTAATATGACTATTTTATTACTCAACATTTCTTCTTATGTATCTCTGAGGCTCCTTAGCCCACATTACTGTCCTTATGTATTATTCTAAAGGGACTTGTCCCAGAATAAATAAAGTATTATTATTATTATTAAATAGAAACATTGCCAATTACTTCATAATTTTTCTCTTATTTATTGTGTAAATCCTTATCCAAATGATCACTCATGAGAAACTACCAAAATATATTTTACTACATAAAATTATATCATTTAAGATAAACTCATTTTGCTATAATAATTTATACTGTTATTTCAGATACAACTGATAACAATCACAAGAAAGCTAGGGCTGATATACCCATTGAAGGTGAAGAAGAAGAGCAAGAAATGTTAATAGATTTTTAATTTTAATTTGTGTAAATATCTAAGGCTGTAAATATTTGCTACATATATTTAAAAAATGTATAATTGTAAATTTTAATAAGATATTTTTAATTTAATGTGTTGTTTCTAAGTACCTTCCTGATTATCTAATATTCTAGCTACATAGATTTATATATATATATATATATATAATATATATATATATATATTATATATATATATATATAAAAAAAAAGTTGATATGATGTATGTATGCTATGATGAAATCGTTAGAACAAAAGTATTTTTATGCATTACATATAAAAAAATAAATTGTCTAATTTCATTCACATTATAGTAATAGGGCAGCTCAGTGGTAGGTCACTGAGCTTCCAATGCTAAAGGTCCCAGGTTCGAATCCCGGTTCATTGCAGAAAAATATTTATTCTGTAGACCCTGGCTGGGTAGACCATACTGGGGTACACCCAGCCTCTATAAAGAGGGTACCCTTAATTAAATAATTGAGAAGAGAGGGAAAACCTGGCGGCTGAGCATGATTCTGTCAAATCACCTCCTTGCACAACCATAGACCAAGAAACAATGCTTTCCCTAAATAGTACTGAACCCAAGACCCTTCATGGGTTGTAGTGGTGCAGGTTTTTATTCACATTATGCCCAGTCTAATTAATGACTGTTATTTATTTGGTATTCTATTCTATAATGGGACAATTTCTAACATTTAACCATGAGTTTTTTTTTTTTTTATCATATGTATTGATCTCCATTCATCTTAAGTATATCAGTGAATCAATCTCTTCCTGAAACACGCATTGAATGACTTCCTTTATGTGTCAATGTAGCTGACTATTCTCGAGAAACACTCATTCTCTTTTTCTTTGTCATAACTGTCTGAAACTGCTGTTGCTTATAGAATTATACTAATACTACAAGACATTTATTAGTGCTCCTCCATTGTTCTGACAGGAGGTTATGAACTGTGGTTATAATCCATAATGAAAGTCAATATAAAGTTTTTTTTTTTAAGGTATCATTAGTTTTCACCATAATAAACCTTTTGTTTTAGTGAAGAACGAATATATTAATATCTCTGATTACCTTCTATTTGAAATAGGAATTTTCATCAACATACTTTGTCATTCACAAATCAAATTAAAAAAAAAAAGTTTTATTGCTATTATATGTTAAGTGTATTTCTCCAAAAATAGAATGAAATAAAATACTTTTATAATGTTTTTGTGTCTTTAATTGCGTTTTAAATTTTAATCTTATCTTTCCTCTAGTCTTTAAACATGAAATGTATGGAATGTATATTCATTGAAACACTTCAGTAAGTGGTGATTTAAACTTTTATAAAGACCTAGTTGGCTCCATTGATAAAGCAATTGATTGCTAATTCCCTAGTTCAGATGGAATTGGGCTGTAAAAAATAATTTAGTATCATTTCAGTCAATTATGGAACATAGTGGCAGGACTCTCCTGGAACACAACCAGTTCTATAAAGGGTCACCTGTTTTTTTAATTAGTTGGTATTATAACCTGTTGTTTGAGAGCAATATTGACCTCATCATCTAGTATAACTATCTAAGCAATGGATTCTTACACTCTTTATAGGTACATACTATCCATATTGAATTAAACATCTTTCTCTTCCACCCATTTGCCTCAGCATGTGGGTGTCTCCAGCCAATGGTGCGAGGCATCTCGCTCCCTCACCATGTTTCTACAGTAACTTGTCTACCAATTCCTTCAATGTGACCCAAATAGGAATTCCTGGTTCTACCTCTAGGCCTCCTGCCCAGTGATTTCACCTACATCGTTTTTATAGGGTCTCCATGATGTTCCATGTGGCAGAGTTTTCCAAAGCACTTAACTGTATGTTTTCTATTACTTTCTGGAGAGAACAGATCCTTAGTTCTTTCCTGATTCTCTTATTTCTTATGTGATCTCTTCTTGTATTTCATATTACTCTTCTCAGAAACCTCATATCAGCTGCTGAGATCCTGCTCTGCAATTTTTCAGTCAGAACCCAGTTTTCAGCTCCGTAAAAAAGGAACAGGATGAAGATAGATTTAAACAGGTGTAGCTTTGTGTCTTGATCCACTACTCAGATAAAGCTTCAGATCTGTAATAAGTAAATTCCACCTACCTATATGGGTTCGAGGAGTGTGTCGGCGTCCTGGGGAAATTTCCCCGTTGCCTTACTCTAAGGCACTGGTTCTTACTAATTCAAAAACATTCCTCGGGAAGGGAGAAAAAAAAAAAAACATATTTCAGAACACATTATCCTGCTTTTATAATTTAACAAATATACTCCGTTATTTTCCATTATATTTTCCTGATCAATATTTCTCATATCTACCTCACAACATACTACGGGAGGGGGAGTGGGGCTTTAGGGCTGAAGCCCTCTCCAAAATGGTAAAATATAACCATGTTTTAAGGAAAAATATATTAAAAACTTATCTCTTAAAGTGTTATTGTCCGTGTGATTACATTTAAAAGGACGTAAGGAATCACTTAAACATCATTTCATATAGATAGTTAGTTTCTTTTTTTTTTCCAAAGTAATTATCGTCATTTTTGTGAAAAATAAAAGCTTTCGGGCTGAAGCCCCCACAAAATTAAATCCTGGATCCGCTAGTGCAACATACCTAAGCAGATGATAAAACCATCATACTAGCCAATTCCTTCAATCTTAGACCTTTCATAGCACGAAACATTGTCAGAAGATCTTGACGATATCCAGTGGGATCCCATCTACTCTTCAAAATCCATAGACACTATGGTAGAAACCTTTATCACTCAACTTCACTCTATCCTCGACCGACATGCTCCTCTTATCACAAAAACCATCCGATATCCTCCAGCTCCTTGGCTCACTCCTGCTTTGAGGGAGTGTATGAGAGAAATGCTGCTAGGCGACGGTTTAAACGAAGTCGACTTCCTGATAATTTTCTCTCCTACAAACAACTTCGAAATAGCACTCAATCAGCAGTACCTACGCTACTACCATCATTTCCTCTCCAACTTTCCAATACCAAGGCCACGTGGACTATTCTTAGAAAACTGACCATTGGTAATGCATCCCAGTCTCAGTCCAATTCCGTTTCTGCTGATAACCTCAACGCTCACTTTGTCTCCTGCCCTCTTGCAACTCTCCTACGTCCAGTCCGGCTCCTATGTTCTCTTCCTTTAATCCTGATCACTTCTTCCTTTCCAATATTACACCAGATGATCTCCTTAAATCCATTCAGTAGTCCCATACCAATGATTACGGTCCCGACAACATCCCAGTCACACTGATTAAAGCCGCATTGCCATCCATTCTTCCGATCCTTTATCATATATATAATTATTCTCTTCAAAATGCTACCTTCCCTAAATACTGGAAAACCGCCCTAGTACGCCCCTTGAAGAAGACCTCAAACCCATCAGCTCCTAATGATTTCCGATCGATTTCCCTCCTTTCAAACCTCTCAAAACCTTTAGAGCGGTTAGTCCAATCCCAGCTATCCCATTTTTTAGAGGACAATAAGCTCCTAAATCCCTACCAGTCCGGTTTCAGGCATGGTTATTCTACTCAGTCTGCTCTAATCAAAATTTCCCAAGACCTTCACACAGCCATAGATCAGCAGAAACTAACCATCCTTATTCTCCTAGACTTCTCCAAAGCTTTTGATTCAGTAGACCACAACATCCTCCTAACCAAACTTAAAATATCTCTTTTCTTTAGTTCCTTAATTGGTTCCAATCCTTCCTACCGGTCGCTCCCAGTACGTTGTAATTCCTAATAACCCCCATCAGAATCTCTACCTCTGACCAGAGGCGTCCCACAAGGCTCTTCCTTATCCCCCACCCTTTTCTCCATCTATATAAATGACCTCCCATCCTCTATCCTGCACTGTCATACCACCTGCCGACGACATTCAAATTTACCTTCCTTTAATCCGACAGATATCTCAGATGCCACTCAAACTTCAGGAAGACATTGACAGAATAAGTGCTTGGGCAAACCTCAATAGGCTCACTCTGAACGCCGAGAAGACAAAAGCCATCTTGATCGGATCCCCTCACTCCTCAAATCCTCCCCAGTATCCCCAATCTCTCCTGAACAACTCACCTATCTTATTCCACACCACCGTTAAAAACCTAGGTGTTACTTTCGATCAATCCCTATCCTGGAAACCTCACATCTCCCAAATTTCCCGTCGCACTATCTCCACCCTAAAACAGTTCAATCGTCTACGATATCTCCTTCCATATAAGTCCCGTCAACTCCTAGTTTCCTCCCTTGTTTTCCCCCACTTCGACTATAGCTGTATGGTGTACGGTGGACTCTCGGGAGATTCCGAGGCCAAACTTAAACGCCTAATGAATTGCGCACAACGATTTGTTTTCGGAATCTCAAGGGATACGCATATTACCCAGTATTACACTGAGTTGAGGTGGCTCTACCCATCCTATCGCCGTCAGTACTTCCTAGCCACCTTTCTGTACCAAATTAGAACCCATCGACCCTCCTATATTTTCACAGCTTACAATTCAAATATTCCATCCAATCCCGTCCCACCAGATCTCGTACTTCCGACCTCTATTCTCCTCCTCACCGAACTGCTGCGTTTGACAAATCCTTTGCAATACAAGCCGCCTCCCTCTGGAATTCCATCCCTGCTCATATTCGACACGCTCAATCAGTTCCCTCTTTCAAACCTCTCTCTTTAAGCACCTACTCCTTTCTCAATCAGACTGATTGTGAAATATACTATAATATAATATCTAAGAACCGCCAGAGACTACCTCAATTTATTAAGGTTATTTTAGTTTCTCATATATATGTACAATTTACTTGTTTTTTTCTTTCTGTTTTCATTATTTTTATCTTAAGGCAACTGTTATTGTAAATATACAATTTAATTGTAACCACACAGACATACAATTTGTATTTATATTTTGTTCTTAAGGGACAACAGTCCCAGAATAATAAAATATTTTTTTCATTTCATTTCATTCACTTTTCATTA